GAGAGAAAAAAAAAAAATATATATATATATATATATATATATATATATATATATATATATATATATATATATATATATATATATATAGAGAGAGAGAGAGAGAGAGAGAGAGAGAGAGAGAGAACCCATGCACAGCAGCCTCTATTTCTTTTTAATTAAACCCTTCAATTGAACTCCCCACCCCCACCCCACCCCCCGCGCATGTTTTGGGGCTCCCAGTGTTTTCTTTTCTCTGGAAAACGGGTCCAAGTGGCTCTTTGAGTGTTTAAGGTTGCAGACCCCTGTTCTAGACCATATGATTTCATAGGTGTCCGTGTAAAATTGATAAAAATTGATAAAAATTGCATCACAAATTTTGCCATTTTGCCAATGTTTGTACAAAAGAGGTGAGGCTAATTGCACAGTATTTCTTCTATCATTCTATTTCCCTTAACACCAGCACCAGCACCTTGGCTGCTGCTGAATATTTTATTTTTCATATAGCCTAGAAGTATCATTGCCCTTTCCCACTCGTGTCTAGAACATTAAAAATCCCACTTAGCCATTTTCATTTAGCAGTCAGTATCCAAGACATGGACTTAACAGGGCATGTCTCTTCCCACTCTCTCTTCCTGTGACCTCAAGCTAACTTGGATGCTGCTGGGATAAAATAAAAGAGAAATAGGGAAATGGGAACATGAATATATATATACATAATACACATTCATGTTTCATTAATTCCATCACATCAACAACAAACTGAATGTTTCTGTATTTGTTCTGAAATGGAAGAAGCATTTACATATAAAATTATAATTTAAGAGTGTACTTCAAGAATATATTAAGTATTTTGAAACGGTGCATGCATAAACTATTCAACAAAATGGATACATTTGAACATTTGAATATTTTATGAATTCAGGCTCATGATACATCTGTAGTGTATGTCACTATATTCAGTGTTTTTAATTCTTTATGCATTAATACTTGAGCCATTAATAGTTGATGCTTTATTGTGCTTGTGTTCAGATCTAATAAAATAATTCCTCAGATGTTTAGAAGGGATGCAGTTATTATCTTAAACACTAAAGTGGGAAATAATATACTTGAGGCCTCCTTTCAGAAATATAAAGTGCATTTGGAGTTCAAGGATTCCTTTTTAGTTTAGAAACATAAATGATTTCATGCTGTGCCAAATCAGTGCATTTTAAGCTGTACCAATAGTGGTACAGCTTAAATATCGTGTCTATGATTTATGAATATAGAAGGACCATTATATTTATCTAATAATTTTGATTAATGTTATTTCATCCATATCAATGCCACTTATTCAATTTGATCTTAAAACAATTCATGATAAACATAGTAAAATGCATCAACAAAACAATGTAAATTGTCTTCATTTAAATGATAGATGGAAAAGGGAAAACAAAATAAGATCTCTCATCTAACATGTTACACATTACCCATGGTATTTTCCTACTAGTCTGCTCATTATTTTGTAGCTCATATTTGGACCAGAGTCAGCAAAGAATAAAAGCAATTGTTTTCCAGTGTGGTCATGGAAATCTAAACAAACATAGAAGAAAAAAACAAACATACCTAAGAAAGAGAATTACATTGGAGTGATTCAGACATGAAATAAAACTTTTTTCTTTGAACTTCTTTTTTTTTTTTTGCAAAGGAGCTTTTACCCCAGTAACTAATTCAAGTCATCATACTCTTGCATAAATGTAGCTAAAATTATACCACTTTTTCATTATAAAGAAGGGGGATATTCAATGGAAACTTGATGAACCTTGAGAAACAGATTTTTTAAAAATCTTTCGGAAAAAGGAATATATATATACACATACACACACACACACACACACACACACACTGAAGGTACATGGTGTTAAATGAATGAGAATCCAAACAAAATGAATGTCTGAAGGGAGAATAAGTGGATTGAGAGAAATGATGAGAAAATTGTGGTTGGAATTGAAAAGATCATCTAAAGAATGATGTCAGAAGTTTAAAGAACCAAAGACAACATATGAAACAATACTTAATAGCTTCATGTAAATTAGATTTAGCTATATATCATTTTATTTTCTAATGCCTTAGTTTCTTTGGCTTACCATTTCTTACTTTTTCAATTCTTGACCTGGCAACAGTGAAAGTACCAATACAAAATAAATACGAATAGATATTGATTGTTAGAGTTATAATTTCCTTAAAGTTATTGAAATATTTTTCCCTTTCCTTAATTAATAAATTGACCATATGTAGTTTCAATATATGATGAAGTACAGAGCTTTTCTTGTCAATTTGTCATCCATACATTTTTGTGGTATTTACAGAGAGAGGAAAAACTTTGATTCAGAAGAAGCCCACTATGTACCCTGATTGGAAAACGTCCTTTGATGCCCACATCTATGAAGGACGTGTGATTCAGATTGTTCTCATGAAGGCCGCAGAAGAGCCACTGTCTGAAGTGACTGTAGGTGTATCTGTTTTGGCTGAAAGATGTAAGAAAGGCAATGGAAAAGCAGAGTTTTGGGTGTGTATTTATTTATGAGATCAATTATTTTTGTCATTATTTACCTTGGACCATTAGAGTTCAAAAGTAGGACATCCAAAAGACATCTGGCTTCCAAGAAACCTACTTATTTAGCCTCCTACAGCTTCAAAGACAACTGGAGATACCATAGTGCTTTCTTTGTGAGGTGATCTTCTGTAGGTAATTTCTTCCTTGGAGACATTGGCCTGTTAGTTATGTTACTAAGGCTTAGACACCGGTTTGCTTTAGAGAATGTTTTCTGGAATACATTTCCTTTTATAACATAATGGTATTTTGTTATACCTATCGCAGAAAACCCCAACCAAATTTGGAGAGTTTCTAAAAATGATAGAAATGCCGGGGATGCAATTGTATTCCTAGAGAACTTTCGTGAATGTCCATTGGAGTCCACTATCTCATGTATTTAATATAAACAAATAATTTCAAACTTCTTTAATTTATTCTTTTATTGCTTTTTAAAATGATGACAAAGGAACTAGAAAATACTTTGTTGTGTATTTTTTACTTTTTTTTAAAAAAAAAAAAGCACTTTCTATATGTTTTTTATTTATTTATTTATTCCCCTGAGTACACAGCAGACAGGAAGTGCTTCAGCTGAAAATAACACTGTTAATATATATATATATTAATCAGAAGTTGGCAATGGGCTTACATGCATCACCTTTCCCCTTTTCTAGAATACTCCTGGACCATAGAAACTAAAGATGTTCAGCAGAAAGAACATCATGGGGCATCTGTAGACTAGAGCACTGCTATTTCTTTGCCAGCTATTATTAAAAGGAAAGGCCTTTGCTTGGGGAAATTGGAAAGATTGTGATTGGAATATAAGGGTTACATTCAAGGCATTCAGGAACCACAAACAAACCTGCAGTGCATGTTTGCTTTAGGACTTCAGGCAACCAAACTCTCTTTGTTCAGTATATACATTTCTAGAGTTATAAACCCTAGAATCATCAGTTCCTAATGAATAAGAAAGTCTAAAGATCAAGCTTCCAGAAATGGAAAGAGAGAGGGAGGGAGGAAAGGAAGGAAGGAAGGAAGGGAAGGAAGGAAGGAAGAAAGGGAAGGAAGGAAGGAAGGAAGGAAGGAAGGAAGGAAGGAAGGAAGGAAGGAAGGAAGGAAGGAAGGAAGGAAGGAAGGAAGGAAGGAAGGAAGATCTGAGGAAAGCAGCTTTTCCTGTGACTTAACACTCTCTAGGGCAGGTTTTTTTCAGCCTCAAGAACTTTAAGTTTGTATTGGGCTTTATCTCTCAGAATTCTTGAAGTTCACATGTCGTAAAGTTGTTGAGGTTGAGAAACACTACTCTCAGCAATCACTTGGGGCATTTTTAATTCTCTGTAGAAAGATTATTTTAGAGTTTTATCAAAACTTGCAAGTAATTCAAATGTTTCTTCCTTTTTAGCTTGATTTACAACCTCAAGGAAAAGTACTCATGACTGTACAATATTTTCTAGAAGATGGCGGTAAGAAAGCTAAACCTTCCAATATATACAGTAGTTAACATTGCTTTGAAATATAATGACCCTAGTCCAAATCTGTCTGGATTTTTCCTGTATATTTTGAAGAGAATATTTACTGTTAGGGATCAGCCTAAACACCTTGAGCAGACTGAATCTCACGTAAAGCACAGGGATTATCTGAAATGAATGCACTGGTAGGAAGGGTAGTTTGGGAGGGTAGTTTGGTAGTTGCAGACTATATCAGCTGATGTGGAGTGTGAGATTGTTTGCCATCTCAACACAATAGATGAGTAATCCTTTAAGTGCAGTAATTGAAATGGAGTAATTACGAGCAAAAAATGAACAATTAAAAGTACAGCTTTTCCAGTTCAACATGCAAACTGCACATTTGCAACTGACTCCAGCATCATATCATAAATGTCCTGTAGCAGTGCCTAAAAAAATTGATGGAGCTCTTGGTCAGGCCACCAGATTTTTTGGCCCAATATAGCCACCCAGAGTCACTTGCTTGAAATGGCTTGCTATAGAAATTGAATTAATTAATTAATTAATTAATTAATTAACCTATGTGCAAGTCTCTGCTAACCAGATCTCAGATGTAGGGACTTCCAACCACATCTCTTCAGCCTGCACTATCCATGTAAATAGGTAGAACTAGACTCAATTATCTCCAGAAGAAAAAGTTAAATACAGGAGTTCAGGAGCTTGTTTATATTGTGAGAGCCCAGGACATTGGGCTACTGCATGTCTAGACAAAGACTAAGGAACCATAACCTCTCTAGCCCCAACTCAAGCTATAATGCCTAGTCAATATTTGATCTTGCCTTTAAATATCCACATCCCTGGATGCTCTGTTCTCTGGACTCATAGCATGATTGATTCTGTACATACCAGTAATTTCATTTGCAGAGACTTGACAGAATTCCAAAACATTCTGGTTCTTGTGTCTGTAAAGAGAATTAATGGGCGATCCTGTCTGCACCATGGATTTGGCTAAGGATATAATGGAAATGGAGATGATGTGTTAGTTGAGAGCCAATAGGTTTTTTAGTCTATGGAAAAAACAGATTCAGTCCAGGGTGAAATGCCCCAAAGAATTTTATTGAATGAACGTTAACAGAATCACAGAGAGATTGATAGACCAATCCATATCCTTTCAGCTTGCTAAGATCGCTAAATTTGAAGGGCAGCAGATGGATGTGCTGGAATCAACAGATAATTGTATAGTACGCTTCTAAGATTTTGTGTTTATGCAATATTTTCAAGCATCATCTGGGGGCTTTCAATTCTTTTTTTATACTTTTCTTATAAGGCAATATCTATAAAGAGAATGCCTGAGATGTTTTTGTGGCACACTTTATCAATGACTTAGTCATAATTCATATGTTATCCCATTGCCAAACTGCATCTCTAGCAGACAATACCCAAAGATGATCTGCTAACATATATTGTCAATGACTTCAAAGTTCAAATAATTGACTTTTGTTATTAATATTTTTATGGAGAATTTTATGTGTGATATGCAACCTCTGCACCAAACATGTTAGGTTAGAAAATCCATATTGTATTCTTCATCTTATTTGCTGCAAGTAAGAATACAGATAAAAGGCTCAAAGGAAAGAGTGATTTACAATACAGCATTGCAAATTGCCTCAGCTGGCTCAATAATTGTTTCTTCACAGGTATATCTGCACTACCTGTTTGCCAGTCTTCCACCATGCCAAAACACATGTAGAGAAACTAAAATTCAATCCGGACTCTGTTTGTCATTTACCAGTGATTTAGGCATTGCGTAGCTCCATAATTATGACCCTCAAATCATCCAGTCACAAAAAATGACTTGCTAGCTTTTTATCATATGATATTTCAATAGATGGTTAAAAATTTCTTTTATAATATATTTATGCTAAGAAGATATTTCTAAGTATCAGACATCAAACAATGACTAGCCTGATCTCAGAAACACATAGAAAATGCCAAATGGAAGCAGAGCAGTTATATCACTTTATATATTTGCCATCCCAGCAAGCCAAATTTAATATTTTATTTTCATCAGTTCCGTACGAAAAATCTGACATACCATGTTTCCCCGAAAGTAAGACCCAGTCTGATAGTAAGCCCTAGCTTGATTTTGGGGGATGGGCCTAATATAAGGCCCTCTGAAAGTAAGCCCTAGTTTGGGGTGAGGGCAGGGGTGGGGGGTGAACTTTACCAGTAGGACTGCTGCAGCCAGACCTCCCAGTCCATTGCTGTTGCTCGTGGCAGGACGCCGCGTAGTGCTTTGGGCCGGCCCGAAGCACCACGCGGCATCCTGCCGTGAGCAACGGCAATGGCATGAAGCGCCATGCGGCGTCCTGCCTGAGCAATGGCAACGGTGTGGGAGGCCTGGCTGCAGCGGACTTACCAGTCAGTGGGCTTGCAGACCGCATGCCCTTTCTGTGCCAGGCCAGCCCCTGCAGCCCTGGGGCGGCCGTGCTGGACAGCGGCCAGGCCAACCAAAGTGGCAGGTGGAATGGTGGAGGCTTGGAGAGGGAGGGTGGTGAAGCGGGCAGGTGAGCAGGGCACATACCCTTCCCATGCCAGGCTAACCCTTGCAACCCCAGGCAGCTATGCTGGGTGGCAGCAGGAAGGGTGCTGAGGTTGGGCAGCCAAGCCAACACTCTACCAGTCGGAGCTTGGGGCCTTTGCCCCAGAGATCCGGGGAGGGTGCCTGCCTGGCCTAGCCGGGCCTGCCTGAGCAGCAGAGGCTTGGAGAGGGAGGGTGGTGAAGCAGGCAGGCAAGGTGTGTACCCTTCCCATGCCAAGCCAGCCCCTGCAGCCCCTTACCTGACTTCCAGCCCTGTGCCGCTTATCCTTCGCGATCTGCTGCTGCCATGTGCAAGGAAACAAAAGAAGTTTGTGGGGGGGGGAAAGGTCAATCAATTCCAACTTCACGAGATCTTTTTTTTGTGAGAAGTTGGGATTGATTGATTGACCTTTCCCCCAAAAAACTTCTTTTGTTTTCCTGCACACAGTGGCGGCGGATCGTGAATTATAAGCGGAACGGGCTGCAGGGGCTGGCTTGGCTCAGGAAGGGCACACACCCCGCCCGCTTCACCACCCTCCCTCCCCAAGCCTCCACTGCTCCACCTGCCATTTGGTCAGCCTGCCACCCCCACCTCAGCACCCTTCCCACCGCCACCTGGCACGGCCACCTCAGGGCTGCAGGGGTTCGCCTGGCATGGGAAAGGCACATGCCCTGCCTGCACCGGTACCATACCTGGTCTGCCACCATACTCTCACCTCCGTGTTGCTTCTCCACCCAAAGCATAGGCCCGGCCCCACCCCCGCACGCTCGCAGCCTACTGGTACCAGCAAAAAGTAAACCCTCTCCGAAAGTAAATCCTAGTGCTTACTTCAGAGCCCAAAAGAAAGTAAGACCAGGTCTTACTTTCGGGAAAACACGGTATGAAAAGTTCTTATACCTTGTTGAACCTATATCTGCTGTAGAATTAATTCTTCATGTGTTGAAATAACAACTGAAAAAAAATCCTCCTTATTACTACATGCTCCATGTTGCTCTGATGAATTTTATATGAACCTTCTCCTCTTAGGTAAGATAACTGCAATCAGTCTTGCCAAATTTTGTACAGCAGAAGTTAACATCAATAAATAATTGATGTTTGAATGTCTTATTCAATGGTATTCAGTTATTTTGTTCTGATCAATTTCTTGTTCTTGATTTTTGATCACAACAAACATATATCGGTACTGTGGCACATTTTGGAAGGAAAAACTGGAAATCACCCTGTCCTTTCTGATGCTTTAAACTGAATAGGCATTCCTGAGCATAATTTTGCAGCCCATCAAAACAGTCCAAGGTCTCCTCTGCAAGTCCTTTGATAAGAATGTGAGCTTGTTCAATTCAGCCTATTTTTGCAACTTGGATTGAAAATGCTGGTGTCCCTAGGCAGCATTCCTTGCCCTTCTCTTCCCTGTTTTTAGCAGCCTCTGTTCGAAAAGAGGATATTCCTCAAGACTCAGCTTCTCTAGCTCAACTACTTATTTCCCATGCTAAGAGAGCCATTTCTCCCTCTGGGTGGCCATGACTTTGTGGAAAGCAGACACAAAGTTTCTGATATTGCTTCAATGTTCCTTCCCTGATTTTAAGTTCATGAAAGTCTTTGTGGCAGAGCGTTGTGACCTTAGGGATTCCAGCTAAGTGCTTGGGAAGAATATTTGGCCTTGATTCCCTTATCACAGTAATTGGCTTGAGGAAGGAGAACAGAATACAACAAAGTACATTACATAGTTAGCATACTAATAGAGCATCTCAAGGTGGCAAACACTCTGATTTGGAACTGCAGTAATAGCTTTCCCAGAAGCGCCCAGCTGATGTCTCCTTATTCAGCTCATAAACATACTATATTGTATGTTATGTCTTGGACGAGTCTCTTATGACTAATATTAATTACTTGTAAGGTGTCAGAAGCATCATTTCCTTTCTATTCTAAAATAATTGTGGGAGGACCTGATCATATTAGGAATCTTACATAAGTATAGTTCAAAGGGAAATGACCAGACTTTTAATTTTTATTCTTTATTCCTCTTGTTTTAGTAGATTACTTTGCAGTAATTTAAATAGCAAATAGCTCAGACTAATTCAGACCAATTTAGTAAATTACTTTGTAGTAATTTAAATAGCAAATAAATCAGACCAATCACCAAAAGGTGATTTCCGGTAAAGACCTTCAGTTTTTCTTTCCTAAATCTGCCACAGCACTGATGTATGTTTATTATGATCAAAAATCAAGAACAAGACTGGGATCATGATAATAGGCAGCAATTTTAAAGCCCTTTCATAGGATTTATCTAGTGCGGTTTGAAGTCTATCCTTATATTCATTATCCTTGTGTTTTTCCAAAATATATACTGTAAGTAAAGCACATTTTGTATCATCTTGATTATCATAGTGTAGCAGTTTGGCTTTCCTCCTAGTTTTAAACATGTTTATTAGATTCAGTGGCAAATGTATTTCTTTGGGTTGCAATCTGAGCTATTAGAATAATTTTCCACAGTGAAAATAAGCTGTTTAGCCTGCTGTTTCAGTGCTTTAGAATTCAAGACCCAGAAAAAGCAGCTGTTCCATTCACTTTGAAAGACAGTGAGCACTAAAGATGACTAATGCATATAAACAACAATAGTTTTGAAGTAGTGATGCTCTTTTTAGTGTAAGGCTAATCAAGCTGATTCCAACTTTATATTTTCCACAAACAAAAGAAAGTAACACTTTTGCTGGAAGAATACGGAATTTAGGAAAAAAGATTGTTCTCCTGTTCTGAAACTTAACTATAATTTCATATACACAAACTTACATACCCTGTAAGATCTCTTGGAATAGATTATAGGAACCCCAAATTTCTGGTGCTAAGCGAGACAATTGTTAAGTGAGTTTTGCCCCATTTTATGACCTTTCTTGCCACAGATGTTAAGTGAATCTGGCTTCTCCAGTGACTTTGCTTGTTAGAAGATCACCAGAGATTACATCACCCCGGTATACTCCAACCGTCATAAATATGAATCAGTTGCCAAGCATCCAAATTTTGATCATGTGTCCACAGGGATGCTGCAATGGTCGTGTGAAAAAGCTCTGCTGCCTGGCTGAAAATTCTGGGAATGCTGTTATATCTAGAGCAGGGGTGTCAAACTCAATTTTATTGAGGGCCGCATTAGCATTGCGGTTGCTCTTGAGGGGCCACGTGGGTGTGGCCAGGGTGGGTGCAGCCTACTGGGTGGGTGTGGATGGAGTAGGTGTGGCCTACTGGGTGGGCATGGCCAGCTCTACATTGTTCGTGTCAAAGGTCCCTGTGGGGGCCTGGGCAGGAGTGGGACAGATCTGAGGGTCTCTGGCAGAAGGGAGTGGGACCGGGGCAACCGCCAAGTCATGGTCCATTTCTTTATTCCTCACAAAGGATGACACCTCCCCAGCATGCACCCAGGGGGCAGGGCTAACACAGCAGGGGCTGGCTCCTCGCTGTTTCTGGATGGCCTTGTGGAGCTAAGACTGAATACATTTCAGCATAGATGGCCAACACAAAATTGTACATTGGCTCCTGGCCAGCCTGGGCAGGGCCAAGGCAGCGGGGGCCATTCCTTCACTGTTTCCAGGATGGCTTCACAGGCCACATGAAACCACTTCGCAGGCGGCATCCGTCCCCCGGGCCTTGTGTTTGACATGTCTGATCTAGAGGATACTAAGCAAAGAAGCCTTTATTAAATAACTGCATGCTCATTCTCGGTATTCTGTATGCCATTAATCCTTAACGGTCAAAAATAGTAAGGTGTAGTGCTTTTTCTCCAGAATTGCATTTATGGCTGTTGTATTTATTCTTTGACTGTAATTTTTAAAACAAGCATGAATTTTGGTTGGCAACATAAAATTGCTAAAACAGCGTTTGAAAATACATTTCCTAGTGAAGGAACAAACACATAGGATTTTCTTGCATGCTTATATTACATATAAATGTATTATATCAATTTGTTAATTAAACAAATGGTTGATGAAAATTAAGTACAAACAGTCAAATGAAGAACAACACTTTTTATAACTTCACTTATGTTTTATTTCTTTACTTGAAGACGCTATGCAATCAATAAGAGAAGATGAAGGAACTGTGACTATAAATAGAAGAGGAGCAATTAAACAGGCAAAGATTCACTATATTAAAAATCATGAGTTCATCGCCACTTTTTTTGGACAACCTACATTTTGCTCTGTCTGCAAAGAGTTTGTCTGGTAAGAAACGTAACTCTGTTTTTTAGATGTATAATTTTTATGTAGATAATTCTACTACTGAATTTCTATCATTTTTCTTTCATTGTGAGATGTGAAGGCCTTATTTTTCCTCAGAGAATTTCGCTCTGCTTTCAGAAAGCCCTAAGAAACTTTATCAGCTTATCTGACAGTTAATGGGAATTAGTTAACAGATAAATTAACTAATGATGTATGTAACTCCATGGAAACCACACATAATAACTTTGATAGTTTTCTCCTCATTAAAAAGAACCTGATCAGATTTCATGGATATTTATAATGACTCTGCTTCCCTCTCCTATGGAAATGAATACCAGGAGCTGGATCAACAATGCTGGCCAGGAAATGTTCCTGGCCACTCTAGGATACTAAAATTAATGTCATAGACAATAGCACTACCAAGGTCTATAATGAAAACTTAATTGATTCCAGTCTTGTTACCACATTCTTATATTTATCAAAACCCAGTTCATATTTCTCTAAAATCTTATTTCACTGTTCTTTTCTGTCTGTTTCTTTTATAGGGGGCTAAATAAGCAAGGATACAAATGTAGACGTAAGTTTGCTGCATCAGTTTTTATTTTGGAGTCAGTGAATAATTTCAATCATTAATTTCAGTTTTGCTCAAAAGAAATGCTATCTAATAAATACAGATATACTGTCTGTAATTTTAGAAATTAGAGACATATATTCACAATAGTTTACTGAAGCAAACAATAAAAGGTTAAGCTATATCTGAAAAATAAGCTTATTGTACATGATAAAATCATGTAATAATAAAATTATTACCACCAAGGTAAATAAAATTATAGTAAACTAAATAAAAAGAACAAAATAATATAATTTGCTTTTTCTGACATATTGATTTAAAGTGTCAATTGATTATAATTTGTGATATTATTAATTTTTTCCCCAAAAGATGAAATTTAATTTTTTGTATCTTTTGTTACTGTTCTTTGAAGAATGTAATGCTGCTATTCACAAAAAGTGCATTGATAAAATCATTGGGAGATGTACTGGAACCGCAGCAAACAGTAGAGATACAGTGGTAAGTAACACAGTATCTTACATATTAAGTAATGCTTATTCCTTGACAAAAAAACATCTTAAAAGAAACTCTGAATTTATATTTACACATTTAATTTGTTTATAGCTGTCCTTTGTTTAACATTTTATTTCATACAAGGTAAGTTATCAAAAATGAAAAGAAAAAGAAAGGGCCTATGTAGAGCAGAGACAAAACAATGTAGATATTTTCCGTATCTTTTTGGAGGAAATCTTTACATCAAGAGCTTAACCATTTACAATAACTTAAAATGTCCCTGGATATGAAGCAGAGCTCATAAGAGATTATACGAAAGTCCTCACAGAAATTCCAGGAAACTGTGCATTCTGTTCGCAGTCTTTAACTCTTCAAAAAATCTTTTTAAAATGGATGATCTCCAACCATTAGTTTAGATCAAGATCTCATTGCTCCTGTAATTCAGTTGCACCCTAATTTTTTTATGAAAACTATGTGCAGCTTTCTTAGAATCTTGGCATTATGTGGAGGGATTGATCAGTGATCGGTCTTTGAATGGAAAAAGCACACTGAAAAATGGGTATGGTGAGTCACTCATTTTGGCTCTGTTTGAAATAGGAAAAAACGTGAGCAAAAGTACTTAATGCTAAATTTCCTAGAATATTTATTTATCAATATGCCATGGCAAGAGACTTTTAAAGTATTGCTAAGCAATTTAATAATGAAACTGTCAAGCTACAAAACCGTTGTTTGGCATTAGGACTGCCATAGTGCTTCTAGTTTGCCTACAGTTGAAGGGGAAAGGGAAGAGCTTGGGCTCCACAGGTGTTCCCTATCAGTGTGAGAGCCAAAGCAGCCAAAGAGATGTTTTGACAAGCCGAAGTTTTCTTCTCATAAAAATTGCTGGACGGTTTATTGGACAATGTGAACTGTCAAAGGAGAAGGGGAAGTTTCGCTCTTAGTTAACTGTTTCCCGCCATATTGCTAGAGCTAGCTTGCTTCAATCCTACCGGTATGCTATGCTTAATAAAGTTTTACATTAGAGATCGCTATGTCTCTGGTGTGTTTATTTCGTTGGGCTTTTCAGCCAGAGTCTGACAGAAACATAAGAATACAAGCCAATTATTATTTTGGTGGGGATCACAGACCACAAAAATGGATTAAAATGTTAATGAAAGGTTTGGATTTTTTTAAAAAAAGTCACCTTGCACAAAAATGAAAGATTTTGTTAATATAAGCATGAATTTAGGTAGCATCACATTCTCAAGAATGCTTTATTCACTTGTGGCTTCTGGGATTTAAGTCTTGCAATAATCCTTTACTGCAAACTTAAATCTATGCAGCAATAAGTGGATAGAACATGCTTGAAATTATTTATTTCCCTGATATGGCACCTATATTCTGCAAATGTTTTTTAATCTCTGTGGAATTGATCAGGTGTATTGCTTGTTTGCCAACATTGTCTGCTTCCCCATACTTGCCCCCTGAAAATATATGAATTTGTAATTTTTAGGATGCTAAATTGATGCCCCATATTTTCAAAGAAGCCCAACTCTAAAAGCTCACTGAAGTAAATTACTGGAAAATCCTTTTGATTTCAGAATTTAAACACATAGAAGTTTAATGTTGAAAACAATTTTAGCATAGCATGGTGGACAGAACAATACTTGAGATGTTTTGATAAATGTATTGCTTGTGTAGGCTGTAAGCTGTATTTTCAAATGAATAAGAGATTTCTAAATATCTGACTATGATAAATGTACATCAGTTTTTCAACAGTTACATAATTGTTTAACTAGCTTGGCATTGGAAACTTGGTGATCATGTGAGGAGATGGACCTCTTTAACTTGTATTCTAATATAAATGTATCTTCAGTTTCAGAAAGAGCGCTTTCATATTGATATGCCTCACAGGTTCAAAGTTTATAATTATATGAGCCCTACTTTCTGCGACCATTGCGGTAGTCTTCTCTGGGGAATAGTAAAACAAGGATTAAAATGTGAAGGTACAGTCTTTATTTTCAATCATTGAAGGTTTAAAATAGAAAACAAGAAAAAAGATCTATGAAAGGCAGGATACAAATCAGATTAATACATACATTTTATGTAAAACTTGAATATGTGATTTTATTGGACTAGATAACTTGCAGCAGTATTTACAACTAAAAATACACAAATGATCTCAAAACCAAAATCTTTTGTGCTGGGGGGGAGGGGGTTGTGGTTCAGCAAGTGCAAATTTCTTCTTTTTATGCCAAAAATAGGAACAGAAAAATTAAACTGTATATTTTGGTTCAATTAAAGAACACAACAAGGTAATCATTTCCAGTTTATCACTGGTAAAAATACTAGATTGTTGATATGCTTACAAGTGTTACTTTTATTAATAATAAACTGTTTTCTTTAGAGTGTGGAATGAATGTGCACCATAAATGTCAAAAGAAAGTGGCAAATCTATGTGGAATCAATCAGAAATTATTGGCAGAAGCTTTAACTCAAGTTAGTCAGGTACGTCTTGTTAATCATTTTACTGTTTCTTTACATGTACATTTAAATCTATAAATAAATACAATTATGAATTCCAAATCGTGCTAAAGAAATTTGTGGAATGCAGCAACTTTTAAAATCCTTCATTGTTATTTGTTAAAGATAAGAAATTCACACTTACTTATATTGAAAGGCAAAGCTTCCCTTAGCTTGCTAATGTCGGTACCAATATTTATTTAAACATTTGGCCATAAGTATATGAAAAATAAACATATATGTTGATACCGAAATAATTGAAGAATATATTTATCTTTCCAGAAGTCTACCAGAAAATCTGATTCAGGGTCAGTAGAAAGTGTTGGGATTTATCAGGATTTTGACAAGAAGCCTAAAGGCTTTCGTGTAGATATGACAGGTAAAATGAAATTGTTTCTTTTCATTCTGAATACCCCTTCTTGTAGATACTCATTTGCCATCAATCAGAATGGCCTTTTCTGCTCAGACATGTATTCTGTGAAATTCCAGTAGAGGTTTTGATTCAACGTGATAATTGATGTCTTCGAAGGGTACAATTCCACTAGTCATAGCTTCTGATTTATATGTTACATTGTAAATTTTATATTTTAATGTTATTCACACCCTGGAGGTGTATAGCATGACAAGCAGTTCAGAAATATTTAAATATATATTATAAACTCAGTGCAAGCATACAACCAATATTTTGTATGATTTTAAAAAAATATTTGAATCCACTTTGAAATAGTAGCATGTGAATATTTTTCATTTTAAAAATAATTTTGTTACTGTATTTAGAAGTAATTTCATATGAAGAGCCAATAATCTTTTTCATAATTATTCTGCATCAGAACAGATCAGTTCAATTGCTGTGTTTTTAAACTTGAATTGATTTTGGTTTAATGCCTTTACAGATAGATGGTGCTGCACTTTTATCTCAGAATTAGTGTGGCTTTGTAAGACATCTCTGCCAAAAGCTTTTCATCTTAATTGCAGTCTTGTGTGATTGGATAAAGAATTATAAGAATCTTCTTTGCTTAGAACATTATTTTGGCTTTGGACTTTCTCCCACCTTGTCTCTCTTCCACCTGGGCTTGTCTGGAATGTTTCCCAGGCAGCAGCTAGTTGGTTCCAACTCTTCTGTCATGTTGGCACTAATGCAAATGCTATTTTGATTTGCAAGGGAGTTTTGCTGTATAGACTGAAGAATCTAAAGAGTGCTGTGTTACACGATAAGAGAGGAAACTGGTCTAAACTGAGTCAGTGGCTTTGTACTTTATTCGTGTGGGTAGTGCTTTTGCTAGAGTGCAGATATTGTTGCAGTTACTACATGTAAACAGAATGATGGCATAATAAAATCTAGGTAAAATTGTTCCTGCCTCTCTAGATGTCCTATATTTAAAAAAAGATCTAATCACACATTTTGTCAACACTTAAAACTTTGACAGTTCAGGTAAAAATGCACAACTCACTAAACTTATAATTGGTTTAGAATCCATATACATATAAACCACGAGTGTACAGGATATTTCTGAAATGTTATCATTCCTTAATTATAGTTTCAAAAATGCACATGCATATACACGTGCTAGTAATAATGGAAGCTACACAGAATATCTTATGAGCTGTAAGTGCTATACAAAATATTTAAATGAAATAGCAAAAATTATTCATTTTGTCTTTGAAGATCATTGTGAATATGATAAGCTGTGGGAGGGAAGATCATCCTCACGACTATCCATTAGGAGAAAATTCAATATAGATAGTTTTGTATTCCATAAGGTTCTTGGAAAAGGAAGCTTTGGAAAGGTAAGTAGAAGATGCATTGTTTTTAAAGTATCTATTTTCTATATAGAATATTTAATTACTAGCTGTCTACTTTAATGCAAAAATATTTTGTTATTTTGGATTAATTTAATATATTTAATTACATGTGTATATGCCTATTTAAATTCTTTTATTTTTATTTTTCTGAGCATATAGACTGTAAACCACTGGTGCTGTGACATATTTGAAACTGATCAGTGATAGAACTGATCAGTCCTTTGTACATAAAAAACAGCATTCAGCATTCTGAACAAACATGTATTAATTTCCAATGCAAGTTTCAATTGGAAGTCTCTAATATGAATTTGCTGAACTAGAATTTTAGTAAATCTGATTCTGTTCAATCGATATAAGAAACTTCTTTCTAAGTGTTGGTATATAACTACCATACAATGAGATATCACCTTTGTCTTGAAGTGGATGTTTTAGTTCATGCAATTTTATTGTACATAGAAAAATTACAAATGTATAAAACTCTTCCATTTAATTACTTTTGTCCAGTTTGATAGAACTTCACATATCTGAGAAAATTCTGTTTCTTTAATCTATCAGCTAGCAAGAAGTCATTTTTTGTAGTATTGTTTTGAAATGTGGTAGAAATAAAGCTTAAATACACATTCTGCAATTTTGAGGCTTGCTGAAATGTCTTTATTCATTTAAGTATTTAAGATCTCCTATAAATAAACTACTTATGACTATTGTTACATTATTTTATTGTTTTTGGATGTGCAAGAATTTGGCAGAGGAAACTCAGCTTGCTACTGGGGTGGGGGTGGGTATTCTAAAGCATTGCAGGAAACCACCTAGAATGTCTGTCATTTTGCCCATGACCCTCACAGGGCTAGGGGATTTTTGACAATTTGTCCCTAGTTGTTGGGACCAAACAGACAGATTCAATAGACTTCATAAAAATAAAGAATAATTCAATAGAGCTTAACTCCATGTGACTATCTAGACATGTTTATATAATTTTTTGGTCCTGCCACTGAAGTAGTTGCTATTGCCTTATCTCAAGATTTTTTGTCTCCAATTCTCAATCTATTTTACAGCCCTGGATTTATTGGGGATATCTAATTGGACATCCTGTTTAGCTTTCTGAGATCAGAGAGCATCAGTTTGATGTTGCCACCTAATTAGTAACATAAAGTACAATTACCAATTAATCAAGGACTGGATAATCCTAGTAGCATAACAAAACGTTCAGGAATTTAACATTTGGAAAAGCTCCTACATCTAACTACATTCTATATATCTTCCACTTCATAGGTGCTACTAGCCGAGCTTAAGGGGAAGAATGAATTTTTTGCAGTAAAAGCTTTGAAAAAAGATGTGGTACTTATTGATGATGATGTGGAGTGCACCATGGTGGAAAAGCGGGTCTTGGCACTTGCATGGGAAAACCCATTTCTTACTCATCTTTATTGCACTTTTCAGACTAAGGTACAGTGCAATAGTTGATTATCTTTTTTGATATGATATACTGAAAATGTATTGGAGATTTATTCGATGAATAATATAATTTAGTTAAGACAGAAATGCAGAATTTAAGACCCCTGAGAGCACATGCAACCTCTAAAAGTTATAGGTTTGGCATCCAGAGACTCACATATATTTCTGTTGAATTTTATATTTCAAATTAAAAATTAAATTAAATATATGATTGGGAAGGAATCATGTTTGTTTTAATTATGTATAATTAAATAGATAATGTCAAGGTTTTTTGGGGGGTTGGCCTCACTCATGCATTCTCAGCAGTATCTCTATTAGTATCCATAACTTTGAATAATCACAATTTAGAGCTAAATGGTGGGACATTATCTTCATGTATAAATAGCTTGGATCTCAAACCAGGTTTGGACGTCTTTGTGCAAAGTATTCACAGGCCATCTCCCTCAACCTGTATGCAAATGATGTTCTCTTCAAGAAATTTGGGTAGTGAGGGCTACAGCTCCTTTGCTTGGAATTTCATGTCAGCTCAAAGTTTTTGTTCTGAGATGCTGTTAACTGTTCTGAGCTACACAAATTAGTGGGGACTTTGTCTTCTAATTTGTTTTTTTAAAAAAAATGTGTCTGACACCACTGTGAAGATATTCAGCAAGATATTTTCACCATATGTGATTGGTCTCACTTGAAAAACTACATGTTCATGCTGCAGATGCAGTTCTCTGAGAGGGCTAATATTTTCTTTTCTTATTTGTAAACAGGAGCATTTGTTTTTTGTTATGGAGTTCCTCAATGGTGGAGATCTAATGTTCCACATACAGGACAAAGGTCGTTTTGATCTTTTCAGAGCTACGTAAGTTCTAATAGCATAATGTGGAGTTTGGGATTTGAAGGAAGGCAGTTTTAAGAAACGTACAAGCCCAAGTGTTTAAGATGTATGAAGGAGAAAATTAATTAAATAGATAAGGAGTATGCTATTTTCTATACCTCTGTGAAATAATATAGTCTATTAATCTCAAAGATTCTTTCTGGATCAGAACAATGACTGATCTAGTGTTCAGCTATCATAGTGACAAATCAGATAGTTCTTCAAAATCTAAGCATAGACATATGTTCCACAATATCATTGTTATGAAAAGCTCATATTCTTCAAAAGTTGGTGTTGAGAGACATGTTGCTTCTAATCCTAGAAGTAACATATAATTATCATAAAGATCATCTAAACTAGGGGTCCCCAATGCCCCGGTCCATGGACCGGCATCAGGCAGCGGCGTGCCAGAAACTAGGCCACACAAGCAAGCGAAATGCCATCCAGGGGATGCAGGCAGCATGCAAAACCATATCCCTTCTTATCCGTGGAAAAATCTCTCTCCACAGAACTGGTTCCTGTGCTCAAAAGGTTGGGGGCCGCTGATATAGACAGCTACTGGGTATTTTTTTCCATTTTATGATAATTAAAATTATTGCTTAAACGTAGCAAGGACAGTGAGTAATGGATATTACAACTGTACTCTAGGGTCATGGGTGACAGAAATGAAGGAGAAAAATGCAGGAAAAAGTTTCATATGCTCAGTGCACACTGCTGAGAACTATCCTGGATTAGAGTGGCATAGAAATACCAGTAATAAAATAATAAATAAAAATACAGAAATAATAGAAAGGGAGGAAAAATTATACCATACATTAAATGAATCATCAGCTGCTTAGAAATCCCAATGAATGATTTAGGCAATAATGATTTAGGTAGTATTGTATTATTGTAGTATCTGGTTACAATACTGGGGAATTGTTTAAAAACACATTGGGTTCTGCCATTACCTGTTAAATCAAGAAGCTGTAAATGAGGCTTACCAAAAGTAAACTGCAATAACAGGAGATTTTAATTAACCTAATGTTCTATCAAGCCTGGATATTCCAGGCCATTCATGTCTTGACTTGCTGACAACTATATTCTTTAGAAGATTAGGCGAAGACCCAAGAGTGGCACCTATCCTTGATTTATAAGTATAACAGGAGGGGAAAATAATGACATAATTACACTCATGATTTCTATATCTATATCTACATATCAATATCTTATCTTTACTAAAATTTTAAAGAAGTAAAATAAAAACTAACAAATAATGAAAATAGTGAAAATCTGAGGGGGGGAAAGGGCATATATAAGAGATGGAAAGAGTGATGCTTCATTACGAAGAGTAAGCCAGAATTGTAGAAATAACATCAGAAAGCTCAAAGTGAGTTGAGGTTAGTGAAGGATACTAAGAACAGCCAAAAAGATTTCTCCAACTGTACTCAGTATATTCAGAATAAAAAAAGGAAAGAATCACTGTTCAGTGAAGATTTTAAAAAATTGCTAATTGGTAAAAAGAAAAGTGAGAACTAATAATTCCTGCTATGGCTCAGTCTTCTTAAACCTCCAAGGGCGAATGAATTTTATCCTAGGGCACTGACAGAATTTGCTAATGGCCTTATGGCATCATTAGGTATTTTGAGAATGTCTGGAGGGTGAATGAAGTGCCTGATGACTGGAAGAGAATTCTCCTATCTTCACAAAGAGGAAACTGTAGGCACCTTGAAAATAATGCAGTAATTACCAACATTTTTAATTACCCAATTTTTAAAAAAATTAGGACACTTAGTACTTACGTATGAATTCTGGTAGGTTATAGACTTATTTTACCTTAAGCACAGTATAATTACCAAGCTAGTTATTTGTGGCCTGGAAAGCAGGTCTGTCAGGTAGAGAGCCAGACTGGTATAGCAGTTAAAGGTGCTGGACAAGGAAGTTCTTTTTCCCCGTCTAGACCCTGACAGATTTCCGGCACTGAATCAATATTTCCTTTGCACGTTGGTGGGGAAGTACAAGCTGGTTATCATGATGTTATCTGACTCTGCTCAGATAGCTTCTCTCACTGGAGTGCCTGAGGGCTCAACCTCTCCTCCCCAGCAGAACTATTGCAAAATTCCTCACCCTTGCAGGTGACCCCCCCCCCCCCAAATGTCAGACTTAGTGTGTACTGACAGGAAATGATATTGTGTGAACTTATTGGGACAGAATCAGCAATTGGAGAGAGCAATTGCCAGATTGGACAAAGTCATGCCTGGCCCAAAATGAGAGGGGGGGGTGCAACACAATCTCTCTAAAAACTATGTCCAGTATTGGCTGCCAACCCACAATGTCTCTTTAAGGTGGTATTTTCAAAGCGTACAAAGCAGGGCAGCTTTTTCCAGCTAGTACCCTCCTGTTGTGCTAGGCTGCAAATGCTGTAAATGAGAGACTCAGCAGGATTGGAGAGCTTCACATCAGGGCCACTGAAGGCTAGCTAGATTAGCCTAAGGAAGAATTTTCACATGGGTAAACTACTTTAAAGGTTCCATCCCACTCGTAAAATGAAAAAGTAGACACTTGGTTTGGACTGTGGTTGGAAACATCTGATTTTTCTGGGTGCAGTTGCAAACTCCTGCAGAGAAAGTAGAAGGTGAAAGGGAAAGTACTTGCGATAAAGAATAAAGTACAATTCCAGAGAAGCTGTGTATCTTTGTAAAATCGGCAGAACGTTTCCTTTGTCAGAAACTAAATATTAAAAAAAATGATCACAATAATTGCTACAAGTCTTTGTCAGTTGAAATAGTTTTACTCTACCAGACACATTAACTCAAGAGACATTGGTGCACAATTCATACAAATAAAGCCGTTAGTGTAAGTTGTAACAATACATTCTCATATTTTCACATATTTATGTATCCTGATAACAAAGCAATGTCTACAATAACCTAATAAAATGGAAAGTTACCTAAACTAGGCAGAAACCAGAAATTTAAAATCTTTTCATTTTAAAAAAATGTAAGCTCCTGAACAAACAAAACCTGCTGTCAATGAAGATTCTCAATCATCCAGGTAGAATTGTCTGGAGTCACTGAAACTGGACTTATTTTCTTGTTGGCTTGAGACGTTTCCTTGCTTATCCACTTTTTCAGTCTGAACCAGGTGGTATGGGGAATCTGAATAGAGAGTAGAGAGTCATGGGAATGTACTAACTCCTAAAATTCTTAGGGGTGTTCCCACACCAACTTCAGGGTTTCTTCCCCAAAGCACATGGCAATATGTCAGTAAAGATTCTCAGTCATCCAGGTAGAATTGTCTGGAAGCTGAGTCGTGGCAAATGGACTTACTCCCAAACCAACAAGCAAATAAGTCCAGTTGACATAGCTCAACTTCCAGTCAAATCCCTTTGTTGTTTTCTCTGCCCAGGACTCCCTCCACCCACCCTGTCGTAGGCATTCTTTCATGCTACTGAGCAGCACCTGCTTCTTCATCAAATGGCCTGGTTTCCCCACTCACTTAAGACTCCCGTCGACTGAAAGGGAGCATCATTCACAGCCACCTCTTCTTCAGCCTTCCTGAGAATAAGAGAGGTGGATATTCTCCCCATAACTAAGCACCTAAGCATGGGCTGAAATGCTATGCAAGCAAATGTGCTTTGGAAGGGCCAATGAATTTATTTAGAGTAACTCCCAAAGTGTTAGAATTGTCAGATCATAATGTTTCTTTAAGGTGGTATTTTTAAAGTGCACTAAGCAGGGCAGCTATTCCCACCTATTATCCTCCAGATATGTTGGGCTGGAAATTCTGCAAAGGAGAGAAGATATAGTTGTTAACTTCTGCAGAAGTTAATATGGGGGCTAATGTGTTGGACTAGGAGTGGGGAGACTCGGGTCCAAGTCCATGTTCAGCCACCAAAGCTACCTGTGACTTTGGTTCAGTCCCTCAGCCCAACCTACTTCACAGGTTTATTGCTATAGGAAAAAATTATAGGAAATATAAGTCTAAGGAAAATATGTGGCAGAAACTATCCTCAGGTTTGCATCTTCACTGCTAATATAAGCTCAGAAAAAAAAACCCATTAGGTTTTACATATAACAATTTCATAAAATTTAATAAAAGGAAAGATTGTTACGGGATCTTTCAATTTGGCTATTAAATTCTCTGCGTAATAGAGAAAGGAAGTGTTTTTCTTCTGAGAAACTTATTAGAAGCAGGATTATTGAAAAAAGGGTTTAAATTATTACCCATAGTTCTAGCAAACTTTAGATATTTTCACAAAGTATCTAGGCTAGCATTCCTTAATCCCACAGCATTAATCAGAACTATTCAGTATAATGCAGGCTTTGTTTCTCTTTCTGCAGCATTGCCTGTTCTAATCCAATTCATCAACACATTTGTAAATTGTTCCATTCTTTTTGTCAAACATGTCCACAATTAGGGCTTTTTAAACTGCCAATAACGCTTACAAAGAAGTTAGTAATAGGGCAGGTTTTACTTAATAATGAAGTTTACTTAAATACATTATGATTCTAAGTAAAACCTCCAAATCAAATCTGGGCTGCTGCCATATTACTTTAGACACAGGCAAAACATTTAGGTTGATTGAAGCATTCCTGGACTATTAAGAAATGAAGACAAGTTTGGATAGGCACTAGATAGAAGCTGGGAGATTGGGAGTTCTAGTCCCATCTTCAGCCTAAAGTCAGCAGAGGACTTTGGGCCAGTCACTCTCCCTCAGCCCTGGGGAGGAGGCAGTGGCAAGCCACTCCTGAAAAAACTGCAGGGACTAGTTCAGACAATCACCAGGAATCAACACTGACTTAAAAGGACCAAAGAGAGAAAAAGAAAAAAATAAAATCCCTGAGGAAAAAGCAAAATAATAGTGGTATATCTCAGCATCTCTCCTTTTCAGGCCATGCAAACTTTTTTTAATTAGAAAGGCTGGTTTAAATCTTTTTAATTAAAAAATATTCCAAGACAGCTTCCCCCTCCACCTGGTTCTGCATTAAAACAAACTCTTACTTGTAGGTAGGAAGAGCTGCTTTTTAGTTGTGCAAAGCAAAAGGCTTGGATAGGATGGGAGCTGAAAAGGAGAAATGATTGTCTGGAGCTAGGTTAGATGGGAGGGTTTTAATTACTGCAGCATATTAATAGCCTGATACAATTGGGAAGGCAATTTGAGGAAGCCATGTCAAGCAGATTCTACAACATTAAACGGACAGGTAAAGATTTCTAAAAATGACTGGAAATGTAGCTAATACATTGTTAACAGGACATTATTGATATGATATTAAATAATTAATATTATGTAATATACTAATACTTTAAGTCTACATTGTTTGAGAATGTTTTTGCTTGATTTCAGATTTTATGGTGCTGAAATAGTGTGTGGCTTACAGTTTCTTCATAGTAAAGGCATTATTTATAGGTGAGTGATTTGTTGACCTTAACAAGAGTGTCATACAATATTTTAACGATTATGCCTTGCTGAGGAATTGGTGGGATCTGTGATTAATACGATGTGATATATGTCACAAGGAATTGTTCACTGTTAAAATTTTGATTCTATTCCAGAGGTGTTAAAAAGGGGCAATTCAGAAAACCCTTGAGAACAATCTGTAATTATTTTCTTACATTTATCTCGTTGGCAAGATGGATAAAGCTATTATTTACATTACATAAAAGAGTTTTTGTTTCACATTCTTAATTGCCGGCATTTAGCCCCAAGACTGTAGCACTTTATCTTTACTAGAATGGCAAAGGAGATAATTCACATTTCAGGTTATAATAAATTGGACTGAACTTCTCTCAAAAGCACAATTTCAATTTATACTGTAGATCTAGAAGGCAGCTTTGCTGTCAACCTGACTTAATCCTTGCTGGCTAGGATTATTTTATTTTATTTTCAAAAATAGTTTCTGGCTTTTACATTGAGAGCCTCTACTTATTTGATCAGGAAAATGGTTGCTTAATTAAGGTTTTAAGTCTGGATTGGCAGAGTTTGGAAAATGGAGAGCCATAACCCTTTGGATTTTTATAGGATGGTAATATCTCCAGAAGGGGCAGGGTCGATGTTTTTCAGTTCTTTAGAATTAGCTTGTTTTCAATATATTAAGAGTGGGAATACTGCTGAAATTAAAGTATTTTTTTCTGACAGACTTTGATAGTATGATCTCAGGCTGCTACAGAGGTATAGATAATCTGGGAGCCACAGTAGCTAACCTTGTTTTAAGTGGGTCAATTATGTAAGGTGGATATTTCAGGTAAATATTGATTATTTTAATTCTTTGATGAATTTTTTTTTTCATACAGGGATCTCAAATTAGACAATGTGATGCTTGATAAAGAAGGCCATATCAAAATAGCTGACTTTGGGATGTGTAAAGAAAATGTATTTGGAGAAAACAAGGCAACGACATTCTGTGGTACTCCAGATTATATAGCTCCTGAAGTAAGGCATGCACATGTACTCATTTATTTAGAAATCTTTCTCTGCATGGTTGTGATATTATATATTACTTCTATTCCAGATGGACATGATTGTAAGATGCAGAATGTTTTCATTTTTATGGTTCACAGAGCATGATATGATACCTGCTTTGAAAATATTTACAGTTGCATTCAGTTATAAGTCTTGGATCCATATTTCTATCCCTATTTTTGTTTGGCAAAGTGACAGGAAAATCAGTAGCTAAGTAATGAGCATTACATTTGAGCTGAATAATATTTAATTTTGAAATAAGTTTATAGAAATAAGTTGTATTCATTGAATTGCAGCTATAATTAACCTCAATTAATCAGGATCTAGGTTTAACTATAAACTTCAATTAAAAGAGAAGCAAAATGCTTAGGACTTTTCTATTCCAGAGAAAAGAATGAGTCCAAATCTTGCGGTAGTGTGTTTCTAGAATGATTACATTTGAATTCAGTTACCACATTAGAGGATGGGCCTAACTATTGCTGATCCTTCTATTATGGAGGGGAAAAAACACAGAGATATACATATATATGGCTTTGGCTGCGTTTCATGTTTGTGTCTTTTCTTACATTTGCATCAGATCTTGCAAGGCTTGAAATATACATATTCTGTAGACTGGTGGTCATTTGGAGTTTTGTTGTATGAGATGCTGATTGGACAATCTCCTTTCCATGGTGATGATGAAGATGAGTTATTTGAATCAATACGAGTTGATACTCCTCATTACCCACGTTGGATTACCAAGGAATCCAAGGATATTCTGGAAAAGGTATACATTGGCTAAGAGTAATATGTTCTTTCTATAGGAAGAATATTGGGAGTATTAGAATTTAATAATCTAGTACACTAAAATAGCTGTTAATGATATTTTTACAGAGAAATTTAAGTTATCCTTCCTTCTATCCAAATTGTGCGTATATGTGTAAAACAGAGCCAAATATAAGACTGCAGTCTTGGTTGTTGCTTCTGCATATTGTACAATCATATGCAGTTCTGTGATCAAAGGTTGTTTGGAGACAGACATGCCCATATGATAGATGCATAGATCAATCTATTTCTATCTGCAAATTCTTCTTTAAAACAACTGCTGCATGAATCTTTACATTTACAGGTAGTGCTTGACTTACAACAATTTGTTTGAAATTATAACAGCACTGGATGATGGGATTTATGACCTGTATCCAAAGTTATGACTGCTGCAGTGACCATGCAATCTTACACACCTAATATTTGGGTGCTTGGCAATCCACCCACCCTGATCTGCAGCTGCTCCTACCTCCCTATCTTCTCCACCATCTCACCTTGCTGGGTCCCTTGGGCCTGCTTCTCACTCAACTAGATCCCGTAACCTTGGGTCTTGTCCCCCTCCCCACCCCATCATACCTTGCTTCACTTATCTTTTCAGAAGATTGCCTTTGGGAAGGAGAAGTGGCTGGTCCACCATGCAGCCTTCCTTGAAGTGAGTTGCATTTTGGGAGTGGCTGCAATTCTCAAATTGTAAGAATTGCAGCAGCTTCCAAAATGGCATCTCCAGGACGGCACAATACAGCCTGTGTATAGGAAGACTGCATGGCAGATCAGCCGCTTCTCATTCCCAAGGCGATCTCTGAGATTGGAAAAGAAGTAGCTGATCTGCCACAAGGCCTTCCTATACAGAGGCTGGGTGGTGCTTTCCTTAAAGCAGGTGCCATTTTGGAAGCGGGTGCCATTTTGGAGGGAGGACTGTTGGCCAAATGTGATTTCTAGATTTCTAGGGCTAGACATCTGTTATGACACCGAGACAAGAAAGATCATTTGATTTACAATTTAATTTGAGTGTTTCTGATTTCACGAGAGAGAGCAAAGGGAGAAATCACACCTTCCCTTTTATAGTTTGCATAATAAAAATGTACTAGAGAACATTTTGATTGGGTAAGGAAAAGTAATCTGCCCAGTTACATCATAATAATTAATAATAAGCGATCAATTAGGATTTAAAAAGCATTGTATTCTGAATAAAAGTAAAAGAAACCTCCGCAAGAGAAAAACGTCAGAAGGGGTATGCCTAAGATACATTCTCAATGCTTTCCAATGCTGGGTTTGAAAAGTTGCTTTGTTCATGGCGGCATGAGAACAGCTGAAAATAAAACTATGTTGTCTACAATGTATCAAGGGCTTTCCTACCCGTCCTGATTTCTAAAAGGGAGGCTTTACTTGAAGATTAAGGCTTTTGTCAAATTATTAGCAATACAGTTGAAAAAGACAATTTTAAAATACAAGAAAACCCATGTTAGTTAGCCAGTGTAACAGTACTACAAAATCTGTATTGAAAGTATTACAAAGTCCATCCTATGTGGCCCTCAGAATCAAGGCATGATGGAGGGGGGAGGGAGGCCCAGTGGGCTGTGAAGCAGAGCACAGGGTACCTTGTCTGATGAGGCCTTGGCAGGCCTGGATCAAGCTGCATGTGAGCTGGGGAAGTCCTACAATGTGAGTCTGGGCCTGCAGCAGGTCTGCCAGAGCCTCTCTACCCCTTGGGGCACCCTGTGCTCTGCTTGACTTGCACAGTCACTTAACAATTGCAATAGGGAGAGCAGAGATTGTGGCCATTAGGCAAGGTGACCACGTGCACATCTCACTTAATGACTGCCACAACTAATGGCCTTAATTCTGGGTTCAATTATGGTCATAAATCAAGGATTACCTGTAATTTGTTGTTTCAAAGGCAAGAACATCATTGCAAACTTGCAGACGTGCACAATCTATAAAGGGCCTGATCTCTGTTTTGCGTGCTAATAAGTTCACTTTAAAAATGTGGACCAAATAAATTCTTCCCAGTCCTAATCCGAATGCCCTTCTTCTTGGCCAAAAGAATTACATAAGACAGGATGCACCATCTCCGAGGCAACAGACGAGATGACTCCATTGAGAAGAGTAAATGAGAAAGTATTTCTGACATCTAATTTCCTTTCCAGAATCCATATAGAAACTAACAGTAACTAAAATTAGAGGTTCTGTAGATTGCTAGCTACTAGTTTCAGTAATTTACCTAAATTGAAGCAAGGGAAATCCCTAAACTGTAATTCCCAGAACTGGCAGCCAGCATATTGAGGGATGCTGAATTTAGCAATTTCTGGAGAAACACAGGTTCTCTGTTCTTGGCCAAAATAGCTATTCAAAACATATTCTTTTTTTCAGTAGGGCAGTTTTCTCAGTAACCAAATGAAAAATACTTTCATATTTTGTAGCTATTTGATAGAGATCCAACAAAGCGTTTGGGAATAACTGGAAATATCAAAGATCATCATTTTTTCAAAGCAATTAATTGGACAGCACTGGAAAAGAGAGAGATGGAACCTCCTTTCAAACCAAAAGTGGTATGTAGCCTTAACATCTATCCTACACCCTCAAAAGCGTGGAACTGTGATGCTTGTATCCTTTGTCTTCTGTTCATTGAAGATGGATCTAAAGGCACAATGCATGGAATCCCTTTAGGGCAGGGATCTGCAACCTTGACAACTTTAAGACTTGTGGACTTCAGCTCCCAGAATTCCTCAGCCATGCTGGCTGAGGAATTCTGGGAGCTGAAGTCCACAAGTCTTAAAGTTGTCAAGGTTGCAGATCCCTGCTTTAGGGGAATGAGTACATTTTTCTTTTTTCCATCTCACTTGTGCATATACAGTTAGATCTTGACTTATGGTCACATTTGACCCTGAAATTTTGATCATAAGTCATTGTAGTTTTAAGTTGAGTCACCACATAACTACTCAATTTTACAATCATTTTTATGATGGTTGTTAAGCGAGTCATCTTCGCTTTTAAGCAAATCATGAGGTGGTAGATCCAAACCCAGCTTATCAAATAGGCATTTTTTTGCCAGAAAATAGCACAAACATGAACTTGTGACCGTGGGTCGCTGCAACTGGTTGTAAATGCAAGCCAGCTGCCAAATGCCTGAAGTGTAATTATGTGACTGTGGGGGTAATGCGGCAATCATAAATTTGAGGACTTTTTTCATGTCCATTGTAAATTTGGATGGTCTTTAAGAGACTGATTGTGAGTTGAGGACTACCTTTATTTACCTGTAACGTAATAGTATTTAATTTTCATATTTTTTTAAAAAAAAACACCTAAATTTTAAGTTTGAAAAATCTTCTTCTTCTTCTTGTGCCATATCCGTTATCGGACATTGGTGATCATGTTGGCGATCCTGTTTTTATCAGCAGCCACACGAAAAAGTGCTGCTGAGTTTTATCCAAACCAGTCCCTTAGATTTTGAAGCCACAATGTTCTTCTTCTGCCTGGATCTCGTTTGCCTTCAATCTCCAGCATTTTTAAAAATATCAATGTGAAACAATGTGAAATCCAGTAAATAACCAAGTTCTGAGCTGTGTATTTGCCATATAGTTAGGCATCAGTTCATGCTAGAGTTTGTAACTAGTGAATTCTTCAAACATTCCTGGCCTTCCCGTTTTTCTTGTCACAGTTTCCTAGAATAGGTTGAGTTAAATTGTTAAAATAGGTTGAGTTAAATTGTACGTGGCCATTCAGCAGAATGGCCAAAGAGTTGTTTTGAGAGAGAAGGCCATCAACAGTTGACACCCCATGGATTTGAGGCCCTGCCTAACAATCTTGGCAGTGTACGTCATTTTAGCTATTTTAAATTGCTTCTGTTCTTCTTTACAGAAATCAGCAAGTGATTATAACAACTTTGACAGAGAATTTTTGAGTGAGAAACCTCGATTATCTCACAGTGACAAAAACCTAATAGATTCTATGGATCAGTCTGCATTTGCTGGTTTTTCATTTATCAACCCTAAATTTGAGCAAATTCTGGAGAAGTAATTATTAATTAAATCGAACTCTGAGAAACAGCCTAAAGAAAACTTTCCAGCTCTTCATATGGAATGTGACTGAAAGACATTCACCTCCTTGTGACCAACTGTGTAGTGATATAGTAATACTTCTGCTAATTCTTTAGCAACTGGCAGCAGCTTTGTCTTGCAAGGTTGAAGTATCCTTGTGAATTATGTGTATATGATTTTCTCTGCAGCTGGGAAAGTGTAGATGTATGTTTGTTGTTATTTGAATATAGTTATTTCTTTGGACTATGTGTATTGCGGGTATGCTTTATTTTGCTTAAGAGGGGAGATATTGATTATGAAGGTATCTTTTAAATACAGTGAGACCGCTAACACATTAATTCTCATCAAGCAAAATGGCTTGACAATCTATTCAATGAAATCTGGGCTTCAAATATTGGTATTTTTGATAAGTGCCATCAGTTAATACTGCCTCCTATAACATGTATCCTTCCTTAAAATTTTATTTTCTTTTAGTTCCTGGATAAAATTTATTAAAAATCATGAAATAGAATTTTTAAAAGTGCCCTTTTCTAGTTTGCTTCTGCAATATGTAATTGTGTTCATTGATTAGAATAAAATATTTGGTGGCAAAATGCAAGTGTTTGGTGTAAAAATACACACTTGCAAATGGATAACCATCTGCAGTTGCTGGGAATCAGGCAGTGTATAAATTTAATAAATAAATATACCCTGAAGTGTATATGTTTACTAACTTTAATGCATTGCAAGACTGATATTTCAGGTGAAACTAGCGTCTACAGTCGAAAATTCACATGATGGAAGAAATTCCATAAATCAGTCAAAGTTACTTCTGAGTAAACAGATATATGCACCTTTTTCCAAAGATACAGGACGAAAGATGATGAGGCAAAGAAAATAAATCTGGCAAATGAACCTTGAGCTGATTTGAGAACAATTGAAGTATTATTTTGATTTTGGAATAGAGAAGAAATGAACAATCCCGAAGCACACAACTTTGTTTTGCAGGTGCATTTTAGCAAAAAAAAAAAAAATGCAAATAATTACATTAAGCTTCTGTGAGGCAAAATGTGTATTTCTTGGAAACCCCTTGCTGTGTGCAGAGACTGAATAAGTTTAGACTCATGAGTACTTTGAATTTATTGGACATGACCTACAAGTAACACCTACCAATTGGAAAAGGTTGTCCATTAGTGTAGGCCAATGTAAGTTGTGTTGTCACTTAAGAATCCTTGATGAGATTGTTATCTGGTTTCTGTAGGAATATTTAAATGTGCAGTTTGTTATGACAAGCTAAGGTTGTTGTTTTTTTTACTTTATAACAAAATGTTTTTAGTAGAGACAATGGTAACATGTATAGAACAGCATTGAAACTTGAAGACTGAGAATTGTTTGTTATTCTTGAACGACTTGATGACACTTAAAATGTAAATAAAGAACTGTGTTCTGTTGTTCTCCCACTTCACCTGATTTTTGTCTTGTATCTAAGTTACTGTCTCAACTTTTCAAACATATATATTACACAGCTCAGCACCCAAACTCCGTAACAATCAGTTCAATAAGCTAGAAAGGTAGCAGAATGGTATAAAAAAGGAAAGCCCTCTTTGTGGAAAACTATGCAACATAGAACCACCTTGATGCATCAAATTTTTATCTTCAATGGATTAATCAGCAAGCCTTGCTCCATTTTTCTTTCAAGATGATACTAGGATACAAACATCTGGACAACTTCCTAAGTTTTGGATTTGACATTTTTGATAAGATTAAGGCAGGAACCCAGCTGAACTCTAAGGTGCTCCGAATGCTAAAACCATCAAATTTGAAATCGTAAATAAAATGCAAAATATTCTACTTTATGAAGTCACAAACTTGAAAGCTTTACAGTTGGCTGATAACACCAATATTTTAGGTAATGGTGTTACATGGGGCTAAGCAATGGAACTCTAGCTTAGTTAACCTAATAGAAATCAGTGTGAAAGTGTCTACTGTCTACGACGCTACCACTACTTAAAAGTATATGGCTGCCTGCTGGTGCTGCAGTTAAAAGCAAAATATTAATATATTGTTTATTGGAATAGACTTACCACCCTTTCAATCACTTCTAATTCTCATTCTAATTAGACTTATTGATGCATCAGAAACACAGACATGTAAAGGATATAATATTGCCAACTCTCAGCTACAACCTTTGTCCATCTATTTTACTAGATTTTTCAAATTTATATTATTCACAGTGATAGCTAATTATCTAAATACAAAAGCTATTTGAAGTTATACTGTGTAGAAGCTGAATCGGCAGGTGAATAGTTATTGAAAATAGTGATTTTGTGTAAAAACCAAACTATCTCTATACATCAATAAAACATCAATATAAGCTGCTCGATCAAACTAAAACTAGCTTAATACTATCAAAAATCTAGAAAAAAAGTTTTAATGTGTGCATAGAGAGCAGTATGCTATTAGCATGCTTATGTCATTTCATTCCATATGCTTTGGATATTTAAATGCAGGCACTGGAGAATTCAGGAACTGACTGCATAGATTCCATGGAGTCAGGATGTGAGGGCAATCAGGATGGGATATCCAATGGTGGGATTCAGCCAGTTCGCACCACTTTGGCAAAACCGGTAGCTATGCTTATGCCTGTTTTAATTCAGCAGCTTTGGGCCCCACTGGCTTGTGCAGTATTACTGAGACTGCCCTTTGTGATGGGTATAATAAGCAAGGTGTACGAAATTGTCTCTGATTTAACAAGCTTCACATTCTTGGTTTATTCCCTGGACCTTTGAATTTGTTTAGCAATTCTAGCAGGAAACCTATTGTACACCCTTGAGCAGTGATGGGATTCAGCCGGTTCACACCAGTTCGGCAGAACCGGTAGCTAATTTTTTGTTACCCAGGCCCAGAATGGACTTCCGGAAGCAGCATCCACACAGAGAACCGATTGTTCACATATTTGAATCCCACCAATGGGGATATCTGTCATCTCATGTTCACCAGAGTTGCTTTGGCTAATCTGGCTGCGGAATTACAGTTTACAGCTCCCTATGCATCCCTCCTAAATCTGTGCAGTTGGAAGAGGGCAATCATCTCAGAAAGGAGTCTACTGATCTTCTCTCAAGGGCAGTGGTGGGATTCAAATATGTGAACAACTGGTTCTCTGTGTGGTTGCCGCTTCCGGAAGTCTGTTCTGGGCCTGGGCAATAACCCCCGGTCCGTGGACTGGTACCGGGCCGCGGCATGCCAGCAACTGATCCGCACAAATAAGCAAAGCCCCATCCATGGGATGCAGGCAGCACACAAAACCACACACTCTCACATCTGTGGAAAAACTTTTCTCCATGGAACTGGTCCCTGGTGCCCAAAAGGTTGGGGACCTCTGTACTATATCAAAATTGTTTTCTTGGACGACTTTTTACAAACATTTATCTGACGATTACGTACCTTAAGTATAGTAGCAAAAATCAACCTATAAAGAAATTAAAGTGTACTTTAATTTAGAACTGATATTTTATTGTTTTGGAGAAATATCAAGAAACCTCTTATGGCAAGTAATAAATTGCCCAACTATAGCTGAAAAATCTGCATTAAATAAATGAACAAACATGTTTGAATTAAAATTTAATTCAAAATCATATGAATCCACCATATAAATTGAGAAAAAAAATACTTATAACATTCTCATTTCCACATTATTCCTATAGGCTATTTCACACATTAAGCGAGTGCTAATAACGGCTTCTTGATTAAGATTCACGTTTCCATAATTCACTTTTTACACTTAAAAAAGGTAGTAAGTCCTGTGAAACAAAATATTCAGCAGGTATTCTGGAGGCCATTACAAGTTTATTTATTTGAAGCTGATAGTAGAGAGTTTTTATGATTTATGATTATGATTTTTGGACTTATTTACTTGGAAGATAGTGCAACTAATTTCAAGAGGTTTTTGTATTTAAGATCACAACTTGTTAAATCAGAATCAACAACTTCTTAGTCTTTTCAAGTATCAACATAAATTTATAATTGTATTGCATACAATGATTTTTTTCTCTGGTTATATGGCCTTTTCTCTAAATAGAAGAAATCACAATTAACAAAGTATATTTAGATATAGCCTATAAAAATATCTATTATACATTAAATATTTAGCCACCAAGTTGTACACATTAAAAAAATATGAAGATATGCAAACAAATATTTCTCTTCAATAAAGGGAATCTATGAAGTAATGATACATTTTCAATGAAGGCTAGTCTACTGGCTTCGTTTAGAAATGAGTAAATTATATTTTCTACAAAATTCAAAACAGATCTATACATCTACACATTTTTCTTCTGGTTAACTCTCAACTTTTAGAGAATTAAATTACCACCCCCCCTGCAGTGGCCCACGCATCCAGAGAAGCTCAAAAAGTATCATGATAAAACACAACTGCTGAATAAGAGAGACCTATTAAAGTACAGCAATGGGGGTTTTTCTGGTCCCTTCTAGTACCGTACAGGTAGTCTTCAGTTTACAATAGCAATTGGGACTACTTAGTGATGGCAGTTCTGGCAGTCCAGGTTGCTGTTGTTAAACAAGGACCTCGCATGACACTGACTTCTGACTTCCTGCCTGCTTCTGTACTAATTTTGTGGGAAGCTGGCAGAGAATGTCAGAAATTGTGGTCTTGTGACAGAGGGAGCAGAGCAATTGCTGGATTTCAGAGGACATGTTGTAAGAACCACTTGTTGAACACTGTCATGGGTTCAAATTGTTGCTGAATGTAAGCCAAGGACTGCCCGTATTTATCCAAAGAGAAGGCAACCCATACCCCCAAAAGGGGAGAAAAAACACATTACATACTATGTCAAGCTTATGGTTGCCACTCCAAATGACATCCTGGAGATGTCCACACCTCTACAATGTTTATGTATGACATCACTTGTATATGTTAGGCATCTATGCAGGTGCGCTTATATATCTTCTAAAAACAGAGTCTTAATAAAGACAGGATTGGGACAAACATTATTATTAACTGATTCCCTGTGTGCACGTCATTCTTTCACATATAAATCAGTCTTACACAGACATATATGTACGTATACATACACAGAATCTCCTCCCTCCCTCCTTCCTTCTAATGGAAATGGGGAAAAGGGGAAAAGTGGATGGAATGGAGTTTTGGGGTGGCTTCCCTGGAAAATAAAAACAAGAAAACTTTTGGGAGATATATTTGGATGGGGATAGAAGAGAGAGAGAGAGAGAGAGAAGCCTTGTTTAGGCATTACAGAGAAGCAGCCTCTCTCGTCTTCTATGTTATTTTCAATAGCACTAAGTGACTGAATTCAGAGATATTGGGGTAGGGGGAGAATTTCTTCCAGTCAGGTAAACATTGTAAATGATTATCTTCCTGAATAAATACTTTACAATGCAAAAATTATTTTACGATACAATACAGCTCAAGTGCTTTTTATATGTTACTTAAATAATTTCTATTTTAATACCATCGGTTGTCTTTCTGATGTAAGTTTGACTTTCTGGCTTATTTCTACAGCACTGAATGCATTGCAAAACAAGGAGTTCACAGCCTGGCCACAGCATACATTATAGCACCAGCGACATAAAAATAAAGAAACAAACTGAGCCTTATTTGCAAAGCTAACACAGTACATTGCACAGATCTTTCACCACTAAGACAGTATGGTTCGGTAAGATATCTATATAGACAGGGGATTTTTAAATACACTTCCAACTAGTGAGGACAAAACTATTTTTGTTTCAGGTATCTAATCTGCTGCCTGATTTCTATCACACAAATAATGACATTATATAATGACTTAATACAAATATATACATGACTTAACATGCAAACTCAAAGAGGAACTGCTTCTGTACGAATTCCATTTGAAAGCAGGATGTTAAAATTCTGCAAATTAACCTGCATTTTTCTGTGCATCTTTGAGAATCCAACTACAGGAGCAGTGGTTCCATGTCTCTTATGCTTTCCTCCCAAGCCATACAGGAGGAGGAGCAGTAGATGCTAATCTCCAAAGATGATGATGATGATGATGGTGGTGGTGGTGGTGACAGGGCTGAAAGATGTGCTGGTTCTCTTTTATAAAAGAACACCAGAATGCTAAATCAGGGCTTAGCAACAAAGCTCTTGCAAGCATCTCAGTGTCCACACTCCCAATTAATGTTTTAAAAGGATATAAAAAATTAAAAAGGCAGAAATCATGTGCCATTTCCAAATCTTCAGCATTTTGAAATTCTTGCATGAATGTCTCAGAAAAGGACACTGATGTCTCAGAAGGTTTCAGGCAAGAATGGGTTAAGTTGAATTATTTGATATACTTGCAAAATCTTAAAAGACAATTTGAAAAACTGTCATTGTTATTTACTTTGGGAGTGAATCCTTCCACCATTACCTGAACTTGTTGATGGTATTCAGTGCATGACATCTGCTAGCTCCTCCAGTAAAAAAATATCTTTCAATTTAACTCTGCCTACTTTTGAAACATTGAAAACAAGCTAATACTTTATCTTTGGTTTAAAGGGAAAACGGAAGAGATTCGTCAATATTATTGGCTCACTAGAACTTCTTAAAGTCATATGTGTTTCTCAAAACTGGTGCTGCACATTGCAGCAATAAGATTTTTGGACTTCTAAACACCATGTTCCATATTCTTATTCTTGTCTATATAAGATTATTTTAATTTTCACAGGCTTTACAGGAATTTCTTCAAAGAATAATATATAAAATCAGCGGACCCAAACCTTTCTGGCTTTAGGGAACTGGCATCAGCTGGGGGCAAGGGATGGTTCACAAGCATGCACACAGCTCACACAAATGGAGTTGTGCACGCTCGCCCACCACTTGTGCAGCCCAGTTTCAAATGGCCCAGGGGTTAGGGACGTCCATATAAAATAGTGCTTATGGAAATTATGAATAATATGCAGGCCAACTTTGACTAATTGATTATCCATCAGTATTTTTAAATAGAATTAGAGATTTAAAAAAAAAAAAAAAAAGGCTTTAGAAAATGGTTCTATTTTGTATATGAAGTAGGAAGAAATCTGCTGTTATTTTTGATCAAAAAAATCACTTGAATAAATTATCTAGGAGGCTCTGGAGCACTTTATAATGTAGGAGCATAAAAGAGAAAATATTTTAATGCTAAAATGGAAATAGAACCTTTAATAAAATTATTTAGAAAGTTGGTGTTATAAATACCAACTGCTACAGCATTATTGCCCCACCCCAAAACTGGAAATTGTAATAGTCCACTTTATAATATTGAATATATTATAAACATGTAGTTTTTTGTATTATCAACCAAAGCACTGTAATTATGAAATGAAAAAAAAATGAAATTTGGTGGAGATGATAAATATATTGTCTAGTAGATGAAAAAGTTTAAAATACTTTTTGTGCACATAAAATTTCATGGACATAAGGTTTGAATAAAATAATCAGAGGAGGATTGTTTTTAACAGAAAGACCAGCTTAAGAAAATATTCTAATTCTAGAAGAATCTCAAAACAACACCAGTACATATAACATTCATGATCAAAAATGACAGGCTGAAGACAAAATATATTAAATTAAAAACTAATTTCATCCTGGGTTCCATAAATACTTGGTACATTTTTGCCTTTAATGCTCAGTTTGTCTTGAAATCCATTTTAAAAGAAGAGAGCAGGCATTTTTCTGCCTTGCTGGCTGTCTCCTTCGAAGGCTTTCATCATCGTCGTGTCCCTGAGAAGTGTCCTTAATGTTGACACCGGACAGTGCTGGGAGTCCAGAGAGCTACAAATTATTAGGTATGGTCCTCAAGGCTTCTTCTCGAGAGCGACTCACGCACACATTCTGGAAATAAAATAAGAAGAATTGGTTAGCAAGTTACAAGGGGTTCACAGTCCAAGGAAATGCATATTTAACTCTGGCCTGACCAAGAAGATTCTCTTGAAAAGTGTAGGGACTTAAGAGAGCAACCCTGCACTGAGATTAACCTCTAAGACAGGGGTCTTCAAACTTGGCCCTTTTATGACTTGTGGACTTCAACTCCCAGAATTCCTCAGCCAGCCCTGGGAGTTGAAGTCCACAAGTCATAAAAGGGCCAAGTTTGAAGACCCCTGCTCTAAGAAAAATGCCCTTTTAAGCAGCAATAAATGAGTAATTTCACTAAACCACATCTGGAGATTAGTTGCCTTTAGAGATCTTTAAATCTAATAAATTACGTATGTTTCTGAAGGTGAACTACTGTTGCAGGCCCATATTTTATTCTAGAGATGCATGCTCCCCAGGCAGTTACCACGTTACATAGAATAAAACACATAGACTAAGAAGCCATGAGGAAAGATGACAAAATTTGGGGTTTGGGACTTTACCAAAAGTTATAGATACATAAAATTACAGATAATATATTTAAAAAGAGTCAACAATTTTTGTTCTCTCGTAACATTGGAATTGAGCAGGAGAATTCATAAAAAATCTGGCTCAAGATAATGCACTGAATAATAGCAGCTGCCCACTGGTTGACATAGTCAGTAAACTTTCTTTAGAAGCTCAAGTTACTGCCAACTCAAGAGATGATGGATTTTATTCAATATGAACACCTGGGACCCACATATTGGCTTCAAAAAGTTAATGTTTTTCACCATTAACTAACATGAATCCAGGATCATGCACACCACGTTTTTAACTCTTCAAATAACCCAAACAAATAAGCAAAGTTTTTTTTTTCAATATACATGCACAAGCACAGGAAAATCACAACTTCTGAGAGTCACTCAACTAAATCCACCCACCTCTCCTCCTCTTTCAACCAAGTCTCTTTTTCTAGGCCACAATCTATGAAGCACTACAACTTCCCATGTTAGGAAATCACATGGCAGATTCATCAGTAATACTGCTCTATTTTTTCTTTCACTAGAGAAGACTTGTAATAAATGTTGCTTTTCCTGCACATAGGCCCTTTTTGCATTAAATACAACCCTGAATAAAACAAACTATTTATTAAACAGCACAACTTTTTACCAAAAGACCTACTTTCAAACAGGCTAGCAGAGTGGTGATACAGTGAAAGATTACAAAATGGGCCTTTCTTTAGTGCCCATGAGATTCCCTCTTGCACCAACTTTTTCATTCAATCTTAAACATAAGTATGACACATTATGTCAAGAAGATTTTGCTGGGATATGCTATTACGGTTGATGCCCACAGAGGGCTTAATCTGAGATGATGCATGCAAAATTTTGGACAGCCACAAGAAGGCAGCAAAGAGATACCTAAAACACTGTGTTTTTGCTGCCATCTGATGGTCATCTGGCTTTTGCATCTCAGATGATAGTCCTAGTGAGAAGCCACAAAGATGAATATGAGCCATGATAGCCTAAAGTGAGTGGAGACAGGATTCAGCAAAGCAAATGTGGAGGTCCTGGGAACATGCAACTCTACATCCTGATTATGATTTCCCTGAAGCTTTCCAAAATCCACTGCAGCAGGGGCTGAAAGATGTAAAAACACAAGACTGCTGAGAAAGAAGCAATAATCATAATAATGCTCCTGTATAGACTAGAATTTGGAACCAAGCCAGTGCTCTTCAGCTGGTTTAGCAAAGCTTTGAAGCCTAGTTAAGTAAAGACGGGAAGTAGGAAATGGGCCAACAACATTTTAAAAATACTGCCCACTAATAGGAAACAACTTCTTAGATACATTATTAAAATCAATTAGAATTATAATTTCTAATGCTAGAATTACATTGATCAATGATATTGGACTAAACACACTTATCACCTGAAAAATATCCAGCTATCTTCTCACTGATTCTATTGTATTTATTGCAACTGTTAGATGTATTGTAACTATTAATAACTTAGGTGTTCAAAGTACTAAACTGAACTTTACTGGACATAAAACATCAAATTAAAAATCAGCAATAATTAAGTTATATTGCAAAAGGAAATAATCAAATTTCAGCAGAAGTGAACAATAGCTTGTCAATGATTCAACAATTCTAATAGTCTAAAACAATTTGATCTCCAAGTCATGCAATACATAAAAACTGCTATATCTGCATTTGATTCCAGAGTGATTGGAATGATTGTTTGAAATTTAATAAAGTATGATAAAAACAGCACCACATCTTTCATAGCTGATCAGGAAACAGGATTCACTGGTGAGCAGGGACAGTTACAAGGGCATCCTCAGGAGGTCTGACAATGTCTACATTCTGTATAATAATAAAAATATAGAAAATATTTATCGTACAGGACTGCCAATCAGTGTTTCCACATGTAATTCCTGATTTAAATTAATGGATGATTGCAATTCTCCAAGCAAAATTTGTGTCCATTTTTCTTATAAACATAGACTATTGATTTACAGAAGAACAATAATTCTGTGGTTCCAGCTTAACACCGGCAACCTTATGGGCTACCGACCTATGTACAGAAAGCCGTGCAGTATTACAGGGTCGTTTAGCTATGACTTCCTTTGGATCCAGGAAGCCCCCAGATTAAGAATGAGTTCAGTTCCTAACTCTTGTCTTTAACTCAAATTTGTAGGCTGGGACTCATACTTACAAGAGGGTTGCCTGTTATTGAAAATGGTGAATAGTGTTCTTTTTTCTCAAGCTATCAAACTACTGAAAAGAGGCTGTACATTGAAAATGTACAGCTTCATCTATTCACAAAAAAATTGTGCAGCTTCAGTGGTTTATTGACTCAATGAAGGAGAACTCTGTCCACCATTTTTAGTAATAGGCAGTCCATTTTAAGTACAGGTTGTTTTATAAATAAAACTTTCTTAGCCAGTGACTGCCTTGCAGTAGTCTTAACTTTAGCATTAACATCGCTCATTTTACTAATATTACTCTGACTCCTTTTCAGCTGAAAATGGAAGTTATGCCAAACTTAAAACCTTGGCATGTACATCTCCAAAAAGGAACTCCTACCTCCAAGCCCATGATTATGTATGCCACATAAGTCACCCCATCCATGATTAAATCATCAATGAGAACAGATTATGTACAGACCAACCTGGCATTCAAAAGCAACAGACAGAGCTCAAGGCAACTGAGGACACAATAACTTGGTTTATGGATAGAGTACTGGGTTCTGGACAAGCTGTCAAGTTGCAACCTCAGTAGCCCCTCAGATTCTGACCCTACCTATCCCTGCCTGTCACAATCTTGACGTTTCCACTTTCTACTCCCTATTCCCCCTTCCCTAGCTCTTCCTTCAAAGGCACCCCATATATCCACCCATACTACATATATCAAGATAACCAGCAACCACCCCAGCCCTTATAGCAAGTATCAGACCTCCCCACCCTCCTGTTCCTATCTTCAGGTTAGTTGGAATAACGCATAGTTTCTATGACAAGCTCCTCTATATACTTCAGATCATACACACTCCCTTTCTGTCCAGATAAGTAGTAAGATGACAAATAGCTCTCCAGTTAATAGAAAACCCAGACTGAGTCCAGAAGAAAGGTCCAATAGGCAAGTGCCCAGAGCACAGTGAAGAGAATGATAAAACAGAGTTCAGTGCTGCCTCTACCACTCTGGCTCCTGCTTCAAGGCATGCTCTTAAATTTCTCCCTGCCAAACCAAAAGGATCCCAGAGCTGCAGAAAATGTTCTTGATCACAGACTGGGTAAGGATCAATAATATGAATGTATATCCTGACAACATGGTGATATACATGTGGATAGTTTCTTGGTTCTATAGAGATGCAGGCATGGGCACAACTAGCGCACTATTCAAAAGTGTGCATAGGCTCTCCTAGCCACAGCTGCCACCTGCTCTTCCAGCCAGAGCCCTGAGTCTAGGAGCACCCCCAAATTGTGCATCAGGTCTGCCTGCAGTAGTGCCACCCCATCCAGAACTAGAGATGGAAGAACCTTGTCTCAAGAGGGCCCAAATACCCACAGCAACTCCATCTCGAAACGGTTGAATCAGAGCTCCATCCAGACCCAGACAGCCTACAGACACTGGAGCTAGGATGTTCACAGTATCAGTCAAGGGGACTGGAGTGGAGATATAAAGCTGGGTGTCATCTGTATGTCTCACCCCAAACTGATGGATCACTTTACCCATGTAGATGTTAAATAGGAGAAGACAGAAAACTAAGTCCTGATGCACCCCACAAAGTAGGGGCTGCAGCCTGGTTCTCTTCCCACCTAACCATGCCGACTGAAACTGACCCTGGAGTTAAGGAGGAGAACAAGCACAACACAGTGCCACTAACTCCATGTCCTGAGTCAGCCAAGAAAGATACCATGATTGATCATATTCAATGCCACCTCTATCCCACTCCTGCCATCCATGAGCACAATCAATGCAGTCTCAGTCCCAAACCTGGGCCTGAATCTCGACTGAAAAGCATCTAGATAATCCGCTTGATCCAAGGCCCTCTGCAGCTGCCCTGCTACCCCTCTCTCCACCACCTCCCTAAGAAGGGAAGGTTGGAAACTGGGCAAAAAGTATCCAGCTTGGTTGGGTCGAGTGATGGTCCTTTGAGGAAGGAGTGCAGCAGGAATCACTCCCTCTTTTCAAGGAGGAGTTAACTACCACCCATCCCCTCCCATGCAACTTTAATGAGCCAGGAAGGGCAACCTAATATACAAGTGGCCGAACTAGCAGCTGAGAGGGACTTGTCCACTTCCTCAGGTTCCACAAGCTAAAATTTGTAGACTTTTATAAAAGTTTTCTACATAAATTAAACCAATGAAGAACAATAAAAGCCTTCAGTGCTGATTTATTTTTGTCTTTCTAACCTCTCATATGCTACAGAGCTAAATTTCTAATCCAAATCAATCTGGTGTCGTGCTATGCACACTTAAATCATGCCACAAAAAACATGGGAAAATTGTCCCTAAGAATAGACAAAAATGTGATCCATCTTGGCAAAAATTCTTAACTATCAAATCAAAGAATGCAGGTTAAGTCACTGCTGCCATAAACAAATATGCAATGACAATTCCCCCAAACATTCTTTTGTCATTTCTATGAGAAATATGAAGAGACAATGAAAATGAACAGAAGTTTTACCCTTACAGAAGAAGCAAAGATGTTTACAGTTACATAAAAATAGTCACTGGGAAGGCTGTGCAAGGCATTCCCAAAGTGTCTCTTCTCAAAAGTACCAAAGAACTGCATATCCAGATAGCTGTCCGGGGGGGGGGGGGGGGGGCGTTTGCTTCCATGCTCATTTCCCAATGACCTTGCATAGCCACTTCACCTATGCCCATGGTCCCTTAGCCACTGGCTGGTCTGCTCAGGCTGACAACCTAAAAGGCTGCTGCGTAATTTCAGTGTATTGGTCTACTATACCTAGCCATTTCCCAAAGGCACAGACAGAAATTCAAAACTGAAGAAGAAAGTAATTCCTTTACTAAAACAATTAACCTCACAATTAAAAGGAATATTGTTACACTCCTTCGCCTACTAAAAGACTTCAATTAATTAGCAAATCCATTCCAACTTACACAGTACTATAAGAGTACTGTGCAATCAAAAACTGTGGTAATTTTGATAAAAGGGGACTTCTAGAAAAATACAAGATATCAGAGATAAAACTTCCATTTGTTTTATGGAACTCTATTAGTGACACTGAAAAATTCACTTACAAATTTTCTTTACAAACAACTATTTTAACTGACATAAACTAGCTAACAAGCCATTTGAACCAAAGCAGTTGTGATCATCAATGTTCCCTAAAGTATTTACTAATGTACTTAGAAGAAAAATTCTGCTTCTGAATATTCTTTGTTCTGAAATGTTTTAAAAAATTAATATACACGAAAATACATATTGAACACACTATTATGGATACATTTATTTATTCTCTCTCTCCATTTTCCTGTTATTAATTTAGCTTGATATACTTGATTCCCACTGAAGCCAATGGGACAAGAGTACAATTATGGTGTCCTGTATTACTGACTAGGTTCATATATCTTATTAAACTATATTTTGGTTTAATGAACAAATCACCAGATGTCCAGCCACGAGCTAAGGGATACTAACTACAAGTGCTTGTTCACATAATAATTAAACCAAAATTAAACAAATCAAATTTTGACTATATGGACCTAGTAGTAAATCACAGTACTGGTAACATAGCCATACAAATGGCTCAGAAATGCTACATACAGAAACATTTGTATGACATTTTAACTGAGTCAAAATTGTGGTTATGTTTTTGTTAGCAGAACCTTCCATCCTCATTTTAGAGTGCATGGGTAAAATAGATGAGACTTTTCATATAAATCCAACAGACACAAACTGAAGTCAATCACTAAACAATGATGTGTGTCTATGTGTATGAAAAAGAGAGAATAATCATTATTTTGCATTAAAAAGAGTGCTTATGAACTTATGTTTCCTCCAGAATTTTAATATCAAAAATAAACTTTCAAACTAGCTGGACACAAAAATCTTTGCAGCTATTGTTCTAAAATGAGCAAGAGATGGCTTTCAAAATCTAGGTAACAAAAAATTTTCTAAAATAATGTAGTACATTTCACATAAAACATACAGATACCGAAAACTGAACTACTGCAGTGATATTTGACATGAAATAGTCAGGGTGGCTATAGTAGAGCACAAGGCAAAACAGAGTCTGTTGATATTAAAATCAGGACAAGATGCTTACAGAGAAAGTACTATTCCTAAAAATCTAAAAACTTTTCTTCCTTACATTAAAAGAATGGAATCTCTCATTGAATGGTAATATACAGTATTTGAATACTACAGAGGTGTTGTCTACACTGTATTTAGGGATATCGGAATGTATGGAAGCCATTCACCCTTGAAATCCTGTATAACATCTTTAACATCTTCATGAGTTTAATGCAGAATTCTTTTTAAAAAAATCATTAAAGTGCATTAAAGAGAACACACAACATTCCATTAATCAAATAAAACTGTCTTATCAGTATTCTCAAATATGAAACTCTGGGTGGTTGTGAATCCTCATTCCAGGAATCAAAGAAGATATTAAGCTCAAATTTTTTTTACAATGCTCTCCTGCTACCTTATTTTTTTTAAAGTACATTGGAAGAAGCAATTAGAAAGATGTAGCTAAGAAAGGGCAGGGAGTGCTTAACTCTTTTGTTACTGGCAGGTTTTCTACTTTAATACTTCTTCCAAGCTTCTTGTAAAGTTTTAAATTCACATTTGTTAAGAAGACCTACCTGTGGTTTATCCCTGTGTGTATTTACAGCCTCAACGTTTAGAAATAAAGATTCCACTTTGCAACCTGTAGGTAGAAGTCAACATTTTGGTATTTAATTCATTTTATTCACTAAAAAAGAACAGTATCAATAGCATAACAATAGCCTCTTCCTTTTATATCCAATGGATAATAGAATTTAATACAAATACTGGTTAAAAATAGCTCCGGTTGCTTTATAAAGTTTGCTCCTATGACACTCTGGCAACAGAGGTTCTAAGAGGTTCTAAGTGGCAGATATAGTACTCCTTCCAATGCAACTTTGAGTTTTCTCCTGGGAGTCATGGATAGCAATTTTGAGCAGCTGTAACAACATTCATATTGACAGACATTTGGGGGGTTGTAAAGAATTGTAAAATATTTGATTGCATGTTGAGAGTATGTTGAGTATCTTCCCTAAAAATACTGATTAGGCTTTCATGCCTTTAAGTCAGGTTGCTGGACTTGGAGAAAGGAAATTGAGAGTGGCTTTTTGGGTGTAAGCACAAGTTCAATTCTGATATTGAAAATATATTCTTGTTCTAAGCCAGACATGTCAAACTCGCGACGTCACGTGACATCGCGCAACATTATCGGGACAGTTTTGCCATTGCCGGCAATGGGGTGGGCGCGGCTTCCATATGATGCGTCTGGCCCGCGGGCCGGCAGTTTGACACCCCTGTTCTAAGCCATGTGCTGAACACACATGTCCTTCAATTTTACTGGGTGGTTTTTCTATCCAGAGACTGCTTGATTATGTGGGATCTTTGGTGCTTTCTGAACTTTGTGGCAGATGTTTCATTAACCAAGTTAGGTAACATCATCAGTGCTAATAGGGAGTTGGATTTGCTCTTGTTTTATATACTAGTGGCTTGTCTGGCTTGCCCTTGCTTAATTTTGAACCCTATTCCATCTGGAGATCTTGACATTCTAAAAAGGGAAGCCTGCCTTTAACATCCAGTAATACATTTAACTGCAGTAACTGCAGCATCTTGGACACTAGATGTCACTACAGGCTTCTTTTTATTTGATAAGTTACAGGAGCATCTCTCTTGTTAAATGTTTTCTTCAGAAATTCCAAATTTTAATATCCACACTCGCCCCTCCTCTTCTTTTAACAAGAAATAATAATGGTGCTTTTTATTTAGACTAAGTGGTATTTTAAAATTATTTTTATTAGAACTGGAGGCTGAAATAACATGACACAAAGTAAAAAATAGGTTTAATAAGCAAGCTTAAGCAGAGTCAGGCCCGGTTAGCATCTGAATGGGATTCCAACAGGCTACATGACAACTGCAGGCTAGATGGAAAAGTTGAAAAAAAAATAGAAAAGAAGGCAGTGGTCATCCATTTCTGTATTATTACTAATAAAACGATAAGGGCATATCCATGATCTACCTCATCACTCAGGTTCTTTGGTAGCCTGTTCCTTCCTATAATTAACAATTTGCCATTCTATCTTATTAAAAGTTACATTTCAGCTACAGCTCTTAGACTCTGGAAACAGCTCACTACAGTCAACAATTAGCTTTTTGGATTCTATCTTTCTGAAGGTATGAAATACATACAACAGAGAAATGAACAGGCTTACTAAAATCCAAGTATCTGCAAGAATACTAAAAAATATTTCTAAAGAAAAGCCAATACTAACCAAGGAAGCTATGTGAATCATTTTGAGTGGCCATAGAGTAATCACACCAGAGTGTTATATGGCAGGACCTAGTTATTCAAATTCCCAGCTTTACCTCAAGAATAGAAGCAATGTCTATTTTAAAACATTTTGGTTTATGATGAACTGAACAGTTTAATGCAAACTGTGACTTGCCTAACAAGTACAAATGATTTGTTTTGATATACAAACTAATAGATGTAACCTAATGAAATGTTTTTCATAATAAAGTTGATTAATTTGCTTAGCTTACATTTGAATATCTTACCGTAAGCCACTGGAGTTAGCGTTAAGACAGTATGCAGAGGGCACTTGAGATAAGGCAATTGTTCTGAAAAGGGAAAAATACAATAAACAAAAGAATATCTTCTGACTATTGACTGTAAAGTTGGCTACTAGTTAATGTTTGTATCTCACTTCACTAAATAAATCTTCAGAACAGCTTCCATTTGTCAAAACCAAAGAGCATACAATGCTACCATGGCTAACAGACATGGATAAGATTCTAAGACTTAGCCAGACAAAAGAATAAAGAAATGATAAACTGAAATCACTGAACAAATAAACATATTTTAATCTACCTAAACAGTGGGTTTTCAACCTTTTCTCTATGGATACCCTTTAAATACCTTTTGTGGCCACAGACCATGACCACGGACCACCAAGACTTAACTTAAGATTTAAATCATAACATTTCTTCAAGCCTTCGCAGACCCCCGTAATGACATCATGCTTCCCCCCCAAGGGTCCATGGACCACAGGTTGAGAACTAGTGATGCATTGGTGTCTTTATTTAGGATATGTACCGCTTGACTGCAATTATCTGGTATCAAAATGAAAGTTACTACTGACTAACTTGAGGTTTTCTGTGGCCATTTGTAAGGTACCTACCTGCAGGCTTATCCAAAAAGTAAGCAAGCAAACAACGCATAACAGCTTGGTGACAGATTACAAGCACGTTTTCCTGCCTTTCCAGCTCCATAATTACTGGCTCTAACCTCTGAACAAGATCTTCATAGGACTGGAAAAACAATAGCAAAAAAAAAATCACAATAATATGGATATATGTATAAATTATAATAGTTTTATTATAAAGTTGATTTGCTCTAAGGTGGGTTAAATAGTACCACCTGTGTACTCTTTAAAATAATAATTTATAAATGCTTCTGATCTCACATAAGATGTGCTATTCAGCAAGCAGCCTATCTTTTAAAAAACTTTCATGTGAATCTGAAAAAAAATACAGATGCTTTTAGGAAACCACTCATTAAAATCAATGCAACTCTTAAAGCAGCTGCATCTTTACTTTAGGCTGCACTGATATATATTAGAGAGGTTTATGCTCTGCCTGGATCCAAGCCTACAGAGATATTTCTTCTTTGTAACTTTTAATCATTGTCCTGTGCTTAAAATCCAAGTGGTAGATTAATGGCAACTGCCAAGTAAATACTGGCTTACATGAGATGATTTTCAAAATCCATTCTTCCTCTCTGCGTCCATTCTTTCCTAAGCAATCTGTGCCTGTTTTTCTGTATCTGATGGTTTCCATACCACAGAATATGAGCTGCAGAAGATTACAGACTGATTCTTTCACTTTATTCTTTGTCTGTTTCAATGTTTATTCTTTAATATTTATTTTTCCCTGTGTCAGAAGCTTTGTAAATAGTTGGGTAATTGACACAGCTAGCATCTACCTTGTTTTCGTGTACAAATAATGAAACGTGTTCTTGCTGACAGTTTTCTAAAACTGGAATTCTGCTACCGAAATGAATTTTTAAGAAACTGTATTTTTCGTACCCACAAACATTGAACAAAAGAAGTTTGAGAACACTACTGTAAGCAGATCAACTGATAAAGCGGAGGGCAGCAAACAGCCTGATGCTTTACCAAAACATAAATTTTTGCTTTGCTAAGGAACACGTGAACAGTATACAGTCAAAGTTAACCCAGCGGTAATCATTAAGAAGATGTACAGCTATTGACTGAAAAACACACATCCTTTCTCTCTACAATCAGCAAACAGTTCCAAAAATGTTTCCATCTTACATAACCTCCATTATAACCTCACTGCCTCTATGCCATCTGTATTCCTGCAGTGTTTTGAACATTATGATCACTCAGCCAACACATGATACATGGATTTAAGGCATGTTGCACTTTTAACAAATACTGTTAGCAGCTGCTTTTATCGGTGCTTTTGATTAATGCTTGGCTTTTAATGGCAGCCTGTAAAAGGGCAGGCTAACAAGCAATTAACTAAGCCTCAAACATGTGGTTTTAAAATTTGTTGCTCTACTTAGAGAAAGCACTTGAAAACGCTGATGCATGTTCCCTCGGAGGACCCTGGGTGTGTTGCTGCAGGATGGCCAGCATTACCCCTCATCAAAACCACTGAACCAAAAAACCAAAATGGAAACAGATTTATTCCCTCCTTTTGCAAAACAGGTTAGGTTAAGAAACCTTTCAGCCCTACTTAAAATTTAAACTCTGTGTAGGATAGCTTTTTAGGTTACAAAATGCTGTTGCTGTTATCGTTTCCTACATAAACGAGAAATTGGTTTCTACTTTAGCAACAACACAAAGAAGTTGCAGAAAAGCTTCCTCATGAGAAAGAGGCAATAAACTCCCTTTATTTCAAAACATTTCTCTTTTGAAACACTTACAAAAAGACTTTTGCATCTTCAAGCTTGCAAGAAGTAAAATTTAACAAACCTCGCCCTTGGGATATCTGTATCTGTATTTGTCCTGGTCTCTCAAAGCAAATTCTAATGGATAATTTTCCTGAATTTCTTCGTATGTCATTTCTTCACAGACTCCCTATGAAAACAAAGAAAATTAAGAGTTCACGAAGATCAATGATGAGAAAACTGGGCTGCGCTCACAAAGATTCTGAACTGAAATGCCACTTTTGTCATGAGTTCACTGGAAGCCTATTCTTTCAGCTTCTAATTATATCTTATGTTTTAATGTTTGGTGAGAGATAACCTATGTAAATTGACTTGTGTTATCATCTTCCTCATAATGAATTCTGAAGTTAATTTGCATAAATGGAAATTCAATTCATGGAAATATTTATCTACTTATCTAAACAAATTGATACCTTGCCATAATCCAAACCAAAGTCTTAGCGGTTTACAATAAAATTAAAGCAAAATATATAATAATAAAAATAACAATACCAAACTAAACAAAACCCTGCTTAAGAGCAAACATTCCAAACACCTTCTGATAAAAAAATATCTGCCTTTAACTTCTTGTTGGAGCTGAGCAAATCTGGGGGGGGGGCTTTACTCCCCCTCTCCAAACCTGAAAATGGAAACAACACAGCCGCTTCTCCCAGCTTGATCTAATTGGTCAAATCTGCTTATTTTTTCAAATACCATCAGAAAAAAACCAGTAGCTAGTGTCAGGTGCTTTAGCACTAATGTTTTTCAAAACTCAATTCAAAATTCTTAATGAGTTTATTTCAATTAATTTACTGAATTTTAACCCACATTTCTGCCAATTTCAACAAATAAAATTATTTTTAAATCTAATCACATTACAAACGGCATAAATAAAACAATTTATCATTCAAAATGAACTATTTGAAATGAGAATTTTTTTAAAAAACTGTTATGTCACTGTCAGGTTGAAAACTCATCCACTACTAGGATGGGCGGCAAATAAATTCAATCTATCAATCAATTGATAAAACATCAGGGCAGAACAACTAGCATTTTATTTTCACACAATGATTAAAACAAACTTTGATTTGCAACTTAGCTTTAAAGCATCCCTTCAAATTAGGGATAGTTGTAAAAAATAAAAATAGTTTACTGCCTGACATCGGTTCAGAAACAACGGAAGTAATTCTGCAGCAAGAAGGGGACTAGTTCCAGAAAGACTTTTTTAAANCGCCGCTGACTCGAGTATAAGCCGAGGGGGGCATTTTTCAGCCCCAAAAATGGGCTGAAAAACTCGGCTTATACTCAAGTATATACGGTATATCTTATGTTTTAATGTTTGGTGAGAGATAACCTATGTAAATTGGCTTGTGTTATCATCTTCCTCATTATGAATTCTGAAGTTAAGTTGCATAAATGGAAATTCAATTCATGGAAATATTTATCTAGTTATCTAAACAAATTGATACCTTGCCATAATCCAAACCAAAGTCTTAGCGGTTTACAATAAAATTAAACCAAATATATAATAATAAAAATAACAATACCAAACTAAACAAAACCCTGCGTAAGAGCAAACATTCCAAACACCTTCTGGTTAAAAAAATATCTGCCTTTAACTTCTTGTTGGGAGCTGAGCAAATCTTGGGGGGGGGGCTTTACTTCCCCTCTCCAAACCTGAAAATGGAAACAACACAGTCGCTTCTCTTAGCTTAATCTAATTGGTCAAATCTGCTTATTTTTTCAAATACCATCAGAAAAAAACCAGTAGCTATTGTCAGATGCTTTAGCACTAATGTTTTTCAAAACTCAATTCAAAATTCTTAATGAGTTTATTTCAATTAATTTACTGAATTTTAACCCACATTTCTGCCAATTTCAACAAATAAAATTATTTTTAAATCTAATCACATTACAAACGGCATAAATAAAACAATTTATCATTCAAAATGAATTATTTGAAATGAGAAGTTTTTTTAAAAAAAACTGTTATGTCACTGTTAGGTTGAAAACTCATCCACTACTAGATGGGCGGCAAATAAATTTAATCTATCAATCGATAAAATTAGTCCCGTCTTGTTGATCGTAAAATAAAAGTGTGTTACTAATTTTGTTTGAAACTAAACGTTGAATCGAAATTTCGTAGGGAAGTTTAATCCCTATCAACATTTTTTATTTTTATCAAATGACGGACTGTAGCCAAGTCTTTGTTGCCTTCATTAAGACGTCGTTCTTCCCCTGATCAAGGTCTTTCTGAAAAAATTTAATGCTGAAACATTTACCTTTTTTAAAAGCATAATGTGATAATTAACATCATAGTTTTATGGCAAGAGAGGCAACAGGTACAGTACAATCTAATACATTTGAAAAAAGCCCTGAAGACTTGTCTGATAGGCACAAAACTTCAGGAAGCTGCAGGAGATCATCATCATCTTCTTCATCAAAAAAAACCACAAGCACTGATGGTTATGCATATAACAGAATAGCATCCTACCGCATCAATCTCATTTAAAACTTTCCACTGCTCATAAGGCACTCTCAGAGCCTCGGCAGTCTGGATGGTCCTCTTCATCTGACTTGTCCAGACTTTCAGATCCTTGATGTTTTGATCATTAATGAACTGGCCCAAACTCTTGGCAAACTGGAAAAGATCATTTAAAAAAACACATTATAATATTATACCTACTCAGATTCAGTGTCAAAAGGTAATAAATCTTGAATGAGATCTTTCAAAGGCTCATCTAGTCCTTCAACAAAGCAATTTGACTTGCACTTAAGAATCACAATATTCATTTACTAAAATGAGAGGGCGCTCCAATTTTGGTGTAATAAAATGTTGCATGAGTGTTGCGAACTTCCACTTATAGAAGTATAACCTCCTGAACATTTCTTCAGGCTGATTTATGTTTTTTAAATAGTAAAAATAAATGGAGGCCTGTGAGATCCCCACATTCTTTTATCTTACTGCCGTTTTTCTTGAAATATTTCACAGTTTTTAAGAATCTTCTGATTTCACTGTCTCTCAATGTAGCAACGTTAAGATGCGTAGACTTCAATTCCCAAAATTTCCTATCCATTTTGTAAGCCTGAACACCTAGGGATAGCCCCACAGCCCCACAAAAGTTGCCATCAACTTGTAATTTTTAACATGTCCCTGGTGGGGAAATTAATAAATATGTCATGTAAATGTGCAGTTAATTTAACATTTTATTTAAATTAATCCAATGCAGTTTTTGTTCTGACCCTATTCATTTCTTTGTGATCTCATTCATTTTCCGGAACGAAAAACTGGTTTATCATTCAAAAGCAAAATGCAGAATGTTCCATAGCCTTGGTTGTCTGGACCCAAATCTCTCCTTAAATCTCAGGATACAAACAAATGCAAAATGATACACATTTATAAACATTACTTAAATTTTAAAATAAATTTTAAATGGAATAAAATACAGAGCTAGAGTAGACCGAACATAACTACCTCTTTTCCTCTATGGGACAAGCCCGTGTCTCCTCCTATTCTTCCCTTTAGATTTAGTTCACTTTCACCATGTCGACAGAGGTAGATGGAACGAGGAGTTACATGGATATTCATGAGGTAGTAAACAATCCGACTCTGGATATGATCCATTACATGATTTACAAGATAACTCCTTCCAACATCCATGATTTTAATATAAGAAAGATCCCTGTAGCAATAGGAGAAATAATTAATTGTATTATTGTCCTATTTAGCCTAATGCTTTATTTATCAGCCACAGAACCTAGGAATACATTTTACTTATCTACATTTAGGGAAAGGTACAGATAGTCCTCTGATTATGTCCACTGTTCAGTGACCATTCAAAGTTACAATGTCACTGAAAAAATGGACTTACAACCAGTCCTTGAAGTTTTGGCCATCGCATTTGCGCCCTCCCCAGTCGGATGATCAAAATTTGGGCCAGCCTTTATTTACAGCCACTCCGTCCTGCCCCTGGCACCTTCCCACATTCCCTAGTGCCTGCCTGTGCCACCTACTCTCCTGCCTGCAGCACCAGCTTGTATTCTATAGCAACCACCTAGGGTACTCACCCTCTCCAATTTTTCTCTCACTTGCTGACCTGTTTGCCTGGGACTCTTGCCTCTTTCCACCTAATGACCGGAGTGGCCCTGGGCTTACGACAGCAACCAGGATTAACACTGCTATTAAGCTCAGTCACATGATGTTGTGCTTTACAACCCCATCATTTAGAGATGGGAAGTCCAGTCCTGACTGCCACCATAACCTGAAGACTATATGTAGTTCCAAACAACTTTGAGTAACAGGATGTTTGCTAATATGCAATATATTTATTTAAATTCTTTTTACACTATGGAATATCCCTGGAAAGTTAGTAAAAAGAGCTAACTGTGTATAAGTAATATGGTGTTTTACCATATCTTCAATTAACTAAGATCTGAAGAGAGAATTCCAAATCAACCAAATTATCCATACTATATAGAATTTATCAATCCATATAGCTTGCGGCTGTCACTTTCTATTTTAACAAATTCCTTGTTTACCTAGAAATGAAGCATGCATTAAAAAGAATCACCCTGCAAAGAGGCCAAGATTTCCTGGAACCGTGGGTGTGAATTATGTTTAGCTTATTTTTTTTAATGTGTTCGTTGGGATGATTTATCTCTGTAAACAGATATTTCAAGCTATTTTCTCTGACAGATATTTTTTTCTGAATCATTAATTAGGGATCTCATTCGCTGATGCTCTAAATTTCAGTTCCGAGATTCTTTTTCAATTATGCTAGCAACAGCATGAAATTAATATATTAACATTATTTGTTGCTCAAGCCACGTTACTGCATTTCTTTTCTCATTCATTAGTATAAATAAACACTATTTTCATAACTAGTACAGTTCATGTTTTCCTATGTGTTTTATCTGGTTGACTGTAGCCAGTAAGCAATACATATAGTCAAGTACTTTTATAAACCAACCAGGTTTACTGGCCAGAATCACAAAATAATTTAGGAGTATGTGGGAAGACTTCCTAAAAAATTGTATGAGATTATTTGCAAACCTTGTCACAATGCAGTGACAAGAGCTGACTTCTCAGTGTCATGGTAAATCTGTGTCTGGGATTTAACAGATCAAGTCCATACAAGGAAATGTCCACAACTGAGTGCTGTTGATGAAAACACATCCTGAGTTTTTGTTGCTACTTTGAATCTGCATTGTTTTTATGTTTTCTTTTAAATTGTGTTATTACAATTTAACAATTGTATTAGATAGTTTAACTGCTTGCCAGAGTAAAAAAGTATGTTATAAATAAAAAATCAGTTTATTATAAAACAGAACAAAAACATTAATTTTACCACCACAAACCATACAGTATAGCAAGCAATCCCAAACAGGGCTCCAGGAGAGTATATTTACTGGTTCATCTTTTTATGGCTATAACAGTGTGCAAAGGAACTCTTGGAAGCCATGAGATAAGCTTATGACATTTAGGATTTTATAGGCAACTAAAGGAATTCACTTAAACAATTTGAAATGGCTAATGTTAAACAGTGAAAAAATGGCCAGAGCTTTATAAAAAAGATATTCTGAAGATACACAATAATAAGCCAATAATAACATCCCCAATGTTATGGGAGTATATATTTGTTATCTATCTACATCTATCTACATGTTCTATCTACATCTATTAGCAATATTTACTATATTTTACATATAAAAAGGTAAATATCCAGAGAGATGACATCAGAAACAGTAAATGTTCTGAGATTTGTGATATGTTGTCATCTTTCTAGTAGGACCTCGGAAGTATGTCTTTTCCATAGCGACTTCTCCCTGCAGAACACCCAATCTCAGCCCACCCCAGTATTCGGCACAACCCTACCCTCCTAGTCTTTCAGAATGCCATAAAGAACTGGGTCTTCCCCTAAACATTGGGATACAGTGAGATTAGAGCCTAGAGATGGTTTTGTTGAAAACAGTAAACGGGAACGGCTGAAGCACAAGGTTTTGGCTTTTTAAATTGTTTTTAATGTATTTGGGGTTTTATTGCTGTTGTGAGTTGCCCAGAGTTGTGTTTCTTAAAATGTGTGGTCATATAAAATAAAGGTAGTGACAGATTTTATTTTCCTGGGCTCCAAGATCACTTCAGATGGGGACTGCAGACAAGAAATTAAAAGACGCTTGCTCCTGGGGAGGAAAGCTATGGCAAATCTAGACAGCATACTAAAAAGCAGAGACATCACCCTGCCAACAAAAGTGCGTATAGTCAAGGCCATGGTTTTCCCAGTTGCAATATATAGATGTGAAAGTTGGACCATAAGAAAGGCTGAGCGACAAAGAATTGAGGCCTTTGAACTATGGTCCTGGAGAAGACTCCTGCCAGTCCCTTGGACTGCAAGGCGTTCAAATCGGTCAGTCCTAGGAGAGATCAACCCCGACTGCTCTTTAGAAGGCCAGATCCTGAAGTTGAAACTCAAATACTTTGGCCACCTAATGAGAAGGAAGAACTCACTGGAGAAGGGCCTAATGCTGGGAAAGATTGAGGGCAATAGAAGAAGGGGACGACAGAGAATGAGGTGGCTGGATGGAGTCACTGAAGCAGTAGGCGTGAACTTAAAAGGACTCCAGAAGATGGTAGAGGACAGGAAGACCTGGAGGAACGTTGTCCATGGGGTCACGATGGGTCGGACACGACTTCGCAATTAACAACAAATAAAATAAACACACAAACTCCCCATAACGTTCTATTTTTGACCTCAAAAGTCACTTTGAGACATATAAATGTAATAAATAAAATAAAAATAAAAGATGGTCATGTCTGACAAAAAGAACAAAGCAGACTGAATCAGAAAACTTAAATACCATTTGTCATGGACTGAATGCGGACCAAGAGTTATTTTTAAATTATAGTGATTAATGTCCAAAATACCCATGTTAAATGCTGTGACTTTTTCACATTTAGTCATTTTTTCAGGCAACCATGGAATTTCACTTTTTTTTAACCTTTCTCACTTCCCATTTTTCTCACTCCAGATCACAAGCAAGGCATAAGCATCAACAATTGAGTAATAAAATTGTCAGGAGTATAAATCTCTCACAGTAAAGGGCCATAGTGTTCTTTGTTGATTTTGCTACCTAGGATTGACAAGCACACATCCCTCTGCTTTATTATTATTATTATTATTATTATTATTATTATTATTATTATTATTATTATTATTATTATTAATAATAATAATAACAATAGTAGTAGTAGTAGTAGTAAAGTTGGAAGGGGCCTTGAAGGTCATCTAGTCCAACCCCCTGCTCAGGCAGGAAACCCTATACCATTTCGGACAAATGGCTGTCCAGTCTCTTCTTAAAAACTTCCAGTGTTGGAGCATTCACCGCTTCTGGGGGCAGGTTGTTCCACTGGTTAATTGTTCTCACTGTCAGGAAGTTTCTCCTTGGTTCTAGATTGCTTCTCTCCTTGATTAGTTTCCACCCGTTGCTTCTTGTCCTGCCTCCAGGCACTTTGGAAAATAGCTTGACTCCCTCTTCTTTATGGCAGCCCCTGAGATATTGGAACACTGCTATCATGTCCCCCCTCGTCCTTCTCTTCATTAAACTAGACATACCCAATTCCAGCCACCGTTCCTTACATGTTTTAGCCTCCAGTCCCTAATCATCTTTGTTGCTCTTCTCTGTACTCTTTCTAGAGTCTCAACATCTTTTTTACATCCTGGTGACCAAAACTGGATGCAGTATTCCAAGTGTGGCCTTACCAAGGCATTGTAAAGTGGTATTAACACTTCACGTGATCTTGATTCTATGACCTGCTGTATCTCACGATTCTGTCTCTATCTTCTAATCCTAAAAGCATTTCTGCTTATTCTGATTACTACCCCATTTTCTAGATTTTTCCTTTCTTATTAAAAGTATTTATATCATCTCCCTCACATTAATTTATATCATTCATCTGAGAGGAAGTGATCCGCTAAAACCTATGTTATAGTTAAATGGATTAACCGTTAAGGTACCATATTATTGTTTTTAATTAAAATTGAAATGGTCACTTACTTGTCTAGATTTTCATCCAACGTCTCATATGAATTCTTGTAACACTCAATTCTTTTCATAAAGTCCTCTGCAGCTTCATCACTAGCACAGTCAACATAATCAGGACTGCCTAATTTCACTTGCTAAAAAACCACAGAACAAAGAAATCTCTAAATATTATAAAAGAAGTCAATTGGATATACGATGCTTTCCTATATTTTGTGTTTTTGAGTAGAAAACCATACTTATACTTAACTATTGCTAATAGTTACTGTCAACCATACTTATACTTCAAAACTTATACTTCAAAACTTTAGGGAAAATGTACAAATTAAATATCAGTAGAAAATATAATGTGGATGGTAAATTGTTATCATAAGATTGACACTTCTGATTTCATTTTTTTTTATTTCTATAGCCTTAATTTAATATATCATGTCCTATAGTCGTGTGTGTGTGTGTGTGTGTGTGTGTGTGTGTGTAGATAAATAGATATTCAATAGATAGATATTTGCTGATGCTTTATTTAAGCTAAAATTTGTATATCATGATCTCTGTAGATCCCATACACTAAATAAAATAAATACATTTCTATAGCTTGGTGATTGACAAATAATATTCCCATACTTCTTCTAGGCTTGTTCTGCAATTATATGGTTAGTTTGTTTTCTGCCTTTACTGAAATGAGACAGAGTTCACTGGTAAAATACGTATTTTGCAAGCCAGTTTCCCAAATCCAGTCCTCAGGGAATGCAAGAATGCTTGGGAAGAAAACCTGAAAAGCTCAGCCAGTCAGGAAAATGATATGAAGCTAAATGTGCATGATGTAATCTACAGTTTTAAAAACAAACCTTAATGGGAAATCAATACAGAAGTGAAATATGTTATCTGCATGCATACATGTATATGTAACATTTACAAAAAAAAAATTTATTCAACTATTTAGTATGGGAGGGAGTGAAACAGCTGGACAAGATTCAGTGGTTCTGGGAAGTAAACTGAGCAAAAATATTTTAACGTAAACGGAAGTTACTACTCACCACAATATTTGCAGCAATAACCTCAGGATCAACACATACTGACTCCACAAAAAAAGTCTACAAGTCAAACAGGAAGAACATTGATGGTGGACCCTTACATATTATTTTACACTTTCTAAAAAAATGCAAAGCAGGCTTCAACTTACATACTCAAAAGCAAAACACAGTGCTGCACAATTAATCAAATAGTAATTTTTGTCTAGTAACCACAACTGGATTGTTAAGCAAAGTAGTCACTAAATAAAACCACAACTGGGCTTATGATCTAAGTTCAAGCTTTCCACTGCTTAATAGACCCATGGTCATAAATGCAAGGATTGGTTTAAAGTTACTTTTTCATCACTGCCATAACTATGAACAGTTGCTAAACAAGGCAATCACTAAATGAGGACTACCTGTATTAGTTCAAACCTAATCATACAAACTTTCTTCTTGTATAATTATTATAATGTAGTTGTGGTATGTTAAAAATTCCTTTGATCTTTTTCTCAAATAATTCAGATAGTATGGCTTTAATGAAATCCTTTTAATTGTCATGTAATATAAATTATTTTTAAGAAAATTTCATATACTGTATCTTTCTAGAGGAATAAATCAAGGGAACATGGCTATATCTCTTCTTTATCTCCTCACAAAAATACATGAGAGTTATAATTAACAAGGCAATTAACAGTACATGCAATATTAAAATTGCCTGCTGTCTTAAAAGTCAGCATTTCTAATCACAACATAATCTTCTTTCATAGTAAATAGCAGCAGAAACTATTGCTAGTAGTTACTGTCAACCATAGAATTAAACTTACAGAATAATTTATTATGAGCATAATTTACTAGAAAATTGGGGGGGGGGGATTTACAGAATTATAGCCAATACTTTTCATCTGCAGTTACAGTCAGTTTATTTGCAATCAGTCTAATATTTAGAACAAACGTTTTACACATCCCAGGACTAAATAATTTTAGCATCTTTATTCAACTGACCTTAAATCCATTTTCTTCACCAAACCTATATATGGTGTCTCTACGTTCCCTTGTAGTATTTGTAGCATCAAAAACCTGGACGAGACAATACAGGAATCATTGGTATACACACACACACACACACACACACAGAGAGAGACTGTATGGTTTTGCACAGTATCTAGGTACATACTGTATTTTCCATATGTATGCCTGGCATACTAATGGCAAGCAGAACAAATAGTTCAATTAAATGTGTATTTGCTGAGCTGTTAATTCCCATTAACAGAGGGCACTCCCAAACACGGTTGTCACAAATATTTTGAAGTGTTATCTTGAATAAAATGACAGAATGAATCTACTCAATAGGACTATATCCTAGTTGGATATAACTATGTTATTATTCTACATAACACAATTTAGTATGAATGTGCTATAAGATACACATACAGAAGAATAAAAATTATCCACAATTAACTCATATTCTCTCAAGATTCATGAAATACTTCATCTCAAATTAGCATTGAAGATTATGCACTAAAACTACAAATAAAATATATAGGACATTCTGCCTAGTTTATGTCATGCTGTTCCCATATATTTCTGAGATTTTCAAAAGCAAAATGCCTGTACAAATATTTGTTCCGTTCACTTTTCTTTCTACTATAATTCATACACATATGACACACATATCATACTAACCTCTACCTAATGTTGTTTGCCTATTTATTTGATTTTCACACCACCCAACTCAATAAGAAACATGTTAGAAATAAAATAACATATTGTTCAAGCTATTTCATAGGGCTATCTTTTTTTAAGGTGTTCGTTTTCCAAATGTGACTTACAAAGCCTTTAGCAATGCAACAATTTAAAATTTCTTCTGCATTATAAAAGCTGACGTCAGCAGATACAGATATGAAAATTATCCACAGAAGGCTAGTACTATGTAGCATATGTTGTACTTTCCTCCAGTAATAAAGCAAGTGACCAGATCACACTGGGGTTAGACTGGGCATAACCTCCAACCTCGTAGTATTTATGTAGCAGCTTATGGAATTTGAGAGCCACCACCTCAAAAGGCTAGGAAAAACTGTTCTAGTATTCATTTATTTAGCCATGCACCACAGAACACTTACTGCCACATGCCCATTTTCTTCACAAAGATATCGTCGAACATCATTTAGTGCTGCTAAGGCACACTGTCTTAAAAAGAAGAGACAACATCCTGGTTATCCCCTTGACAAGACTTCACAGTTACAGACACACAGGGCTATTCAGCATTATTAAAAGACTGTACACAAACCAAGACTCAGCCTCATTTCATGTACCAAAGCACTTCAAAGGCACGCTTCAGAAATACTGGAGCAACTTATCTGTCTTCGGCCAGTTCACAGATTACAGCATGGCCAGTAAAATTAAAACAATGATTATAGGAAGAAAACAAGACTGAGCCATGCATCTCTCGAGACAGCTATCCTACTTTCCCACCTTGGTAAAACGACCAACAGCATCAGCATCGCTAACATCAACATTCCTTTAGTTCAAAACAGTAACATGATGCCAACAGAAAGTAGCACATAAAAAACTTACTTTCGGATTTTCTGGGCTTCTTTATTGTCGGGCAAGAAGAATTCAAAGGATTTGTATGTTTTTACCAAATCTCGACGGTACTGTCCAACATTAAACTCTGTCGAAGAGGAAAATTGAGTTTTTATTTTCTCCTATAACTTACAGTTATAGAAGCATCCCGAGCATCCAGAAAATTTATTATACATTATAATCTTGAAGCCAGATCACTTTATAATTATACCCTAAAATATTGTTATAGGAAGCTCTAAAGGGCATTGCTTTACTTTTCCAATTCTTCTCAGAACCAATTTTTCCCATGAAGCTTTTAACTGTCTCATACAATGACTTATCACAACTTAAATCTGTGATTAAATCTAGGTATGTAGAACTGAAAACAAACCATCTTAGCTTCTTTTTCTATTTGCTTCCATTTTCCTTTCCTTACTTTTAATTGAAAGCAGTTGAGCATAATGAACCAACTTTTTAAAAATTGGTTAAGCACTGTGCACATTAGTGACATTTTTGGATAAAAAATAACAGTAATAATACCTTTGACCAATAATATATTTTACCTTGGTTAACCAAACATCAATATCTATCTATCCTGGGTCTTTGGAAAGGACTTGATAGGTTGGTAAAAATGCTGACTATGTGACTAACCAATAAAATCTTATTCTGTTACAGTACTCATTGTTTCATTGTATAATTATAAAATATATATTACATTTATTATTTCAATACAGTGTGGACTAGAGATTACTAATACTCTAAAGTTTAGATAAATTAGACTATTAAAGATAGAAAAGATACTATATCAGTATTACCTATGATTTATAATACCAATTTAATAAGCATAAGAGTCACCTTATTGGAAAAATGGGCTACATATAAATTTAATAAATAAAAATAAATAAGATTATTTAGCTTTTATAGAATATAACTGAATATAAGGAGAAGCTGCAAAATACATCAAAATATTGGTGTAAAATAAAAGTTTCCGCTTAAGCTGATTACTTAATACTATCCACTGTATTGTTAAAAAGAAAACAGATAAACCAAAATAGGCAACAACATCTAAACAAAAAAAAAGGAAAGAAAAAAAATAGCTACTTAGGTAGTATACATTTAGGCCCCCTTAGAAGTCAAAGGGATTGATATTTGCCAAGTAACATAATATATTGTATGTACGGGAACCATTGTCTAAATTTTGGTTAAATCTGTTGTGACAGCACTCACCTTTTGTAGGCACTCCAATCCAATTTAAGTAGCGTGTCAATTTTTTTGATATGTAAGTTTTTCCTCTTGGACCTTCCGGTTGGTAATGTTAGTCTCATCCTGTCAAACAGTACGTATGATATTTTTTTACCATCTCAATCATAAGTAATTTTTGTTCTCATAGTCAGTATCTAGACTTCTGATTTAATCCTTTATCGTCCGTAGAAAAATACCCTTATTGTCGTGAGGTCCCTTTCGGAACAGTAAAACTACTTTGTAAGTTTTGTCAATACTGATTTTATTAGAAGTTCCCCTAAATCTACTAGGTCCACAAATGTTTGCTATAAATTTACATAGTTACTCTGAAAACAAGTTTTCATCTATTCCTGAAGTACAGCATCCCCTCAAATCATTTTTTTTTCAGTTACTCAAGCCAGCTGCGGTATATAATTTGCTTCTTACCAAATACTATTTATTCTTTTACTCATTGAACCTGGAAAAGAGTCTTTGGAAGATAATACTTACCGTAAGTTTTCTCAAAATATAGACTAGTAATGAGCAACTTTTTCATGTTGTGGGAACCATAACTCAATTCTATGCTATGACAAGATATGCCATATTTCCAAACAATTGTTAAATGTACTCAAGTTGTCAAGCCAGGCGAGAAAAATCTCTCAAAATATCAATCATGTTATTTACAATTTTAGAATTGTTTTTAAACTAAAAAAAATAGAACACAGTAACTACCATTTCATAATACTCCCATAAACAATTACAGTCATTAATATAACAAAACAAAACTATGCTAGTGCAGAGACAATAGAGTGTGGTAATGACAGAAAGGAACATGAATTTGAGAGTCAGATAGTACTTAGTGACTGAACAACAAAAATGACAGAAGTAAAAATCACTTAAGAGTGCTTAAAATAGGTGTCCATATAAATCTTTTCAACAAATAAAAAATAAACATTTCACATTTGTTACCTTAGTAATTATTATGCTTGCTTTGTCAAGGGGGTAATATTATCCATGCCCCAAAAACTAATGTAAAAATTTAAGAACACTGCAAATCAGACATGGCTGAGCCCACTGATTTACTGAAGTTCATAACAAGAGGAAAAAAGTAAATTGGAAAACACTGGTTTTATTAGCCCAAACTTCAGAACATCTGCTTTTTTTAGGCTTCTGGTAGGATATTACAACCAGGAATTATCTGCTTGTACAAGTTTACTTGTACTTCTTTGGTGGCCTCACTTTCTTTAATTTTCACCATTTCTAGAATGACTTATGGACAAGGGAAATGAAAGGGACAGAGCGGATAATAAAAGATTAAAACTTCTATCATGATTTACCAATAGTTATCTGGCATAGAAGGGACTGTTTTGTTTTTTCTAACGCATATGTGAAACAGATACAGCTCTTACACTAAAATACTAGACTTAGATGGTCTATCTTTAATGAAGCTGTGACATTTTTTAGAAAAGCATTCAAATATATAAATACTACAAAAATATGTAGTAATATCTCTATACTTTATGGATGGGCAACCTATGGCAATGGGGCTGCATTCAGTTCCTGATCTAGCCAACCATTCAGACTCTATCAAAATATGTTCCCTGACAAACAGCTACCTGGGAAAGAGAAAAAGGAGGTCTCAACAAAAGATGGAGAAAATAAATGCACCCTAAAAAGAGGACCTATGTGTTTGTTGGCTCAGGTCCACCTACTATTACGATGCCTCCAAAAGCCAATATAGTCATTGAGAAAAATTAAGTGGCCGACTTTCTATTTAATCTAAAACAAGAAAAGATATGTACTGTAAACACTAAAGCACATATTACAATACCATACAACTGCTCGCATTATGTAAATTCATCTTACATAACAATTGAGAGCCTTCTTCCCCTTCCCTCACAAGCAAACTAGTACTGATAAATATTTTATCAAACTCTTTATAAATTAAGTTAGCTTTGCTATGAAAATTTCATGCAGTGGGATTTCCTTCTTCCTCCTTTCTCTTCGAATCCTCTTCACATGATGCACCAAACCTCTGAAGCAGATTTTGAGAAAATCAGTTCTTCCTCCTGATTCCACTGGCTAGTCTACCAGCAGAAGGAATTAACCCTTTCCACTTATAATGTAATGTAAAACCAACAAGTGCATTTTGTGCCTTTATTTCAATGGTGTCAACTTAGAACTAAAAAAATCTGGATGGCCATCAGGTGTCAGCAAAAAGATGTATTTAGTAACTGTATCTTTTCTGATTTTTGCATCATACATGCGGTAGCCGTATTTAACCACTTCGTGAAGAAATCATTAGGCAACATTGTCTTTTGAGTAATTTCCCAGCAGCAATAAAATCATGCATTTAGAAAGACCAAAACTAGTCAGAACAATTGGAAAATAGGCACTGATAAGTGCACTTATTTGAGATACAGATAACAGATAATATATACATATATAAGAGGATGACGGGAAAAATAAGTTAAATGTTGTAAAAGAATAAGAATTATAATTCCAAGACAAGTTATAACAAGCATCAAAGAACTGTGAAGCAAACTTTCTAGGCTACCAAAAGTGAGTTCATGCAGGTGGCAATCACTTACTTTTTGAATCCTACTATGCCTTTATTTGTTTATAAAGAATAATGGCTACAAGCCAATTCTAATTATATATGTGCATGAGCAAACCTTAATTTAATTTGGGTTCACTGCACAAAACATAATAGTTAATTGTTTAAAATACCTTTTGAAACTATAAACATCTATTATACCTACTATTTAATATTTAAGCTCTTCTTTTGCAGTTCTGCTATTGAAGATTTATATATGATTTGAAGTATGCAAGACACCACTATCCAAAAGTTGCAAACTGAAGTTTAATCCTTTCCCATCCACTTATAATCAATTTCATAAGACACAATTTCATAAGTATGTGGCCTGATTTTGATGCATACTTTAATCAAAATATCAGATACCCCAGAAATTCTTTCTGAACTTTCTCAAGTTACAAAGCAAGATTTAGGTATTCCCATTAATAAAATGTGATTCTAATTGTCCTCGATGGAAGCCAACATTACAATATTTTGTAATGTTTGCTGCTTATGAAGTTTTTTCTTGTAAATAAACACACACATACGTTCCCACTTATACACAAGCACAACACTCTAAAGGTACAAGTTTACTAATTGATTGTTACTATGGATAACGTTCGATTATAAGTAAAAATTTTATAGGAAGGTAAACATCTGTAGTATTACGTCATTGTTATTGAATTCCCATACGTAGGTTACGAAACTTAGTATTAAGAGTACATACTAACGGTTGGTTCAAATACATTCAACAACTATAATTCCGCCTTATTGGGCAATCCCCAATTAGAAAATGTTCAAAGCAATTGTGCAAGAATGAAATTCTGAGCAACTAGAAATTGAAGATTACACAACACTCATAAACTACAGGAAATAAATCTATTCCCAGAATACTATCACAGAGGCTAAATGAATTTATTTTTTAAAGCAAAAAAGCTATATGTTCCCCATTACCTTATGAAATAAAAAACTATAATTATTTTTGTCCAAAACTGTCCACGAATAAGTATGTCAAAATGAACTGCTTCTATTTTCTGCCTCCTGTCTTCTCTTCCTCCCCTCCAAAAATGTCAGTTCTTAGATGTATTTGTTACAATAATCTAGTTTGTAATATTCAATAGCTTCTGATTTTAGCTGATGAAAGTTGAGAACTATTGACAAATTCAACCTTTGTTTTTCAGGTTTTTATTCAGTAAATCTTCTGAGAACATGTAGGTGAAGCATCTATTTTTATCAAGCTGAACAAAAAACTTTCCAAAGTTAATATGTCAGCATTAACATTAGCTCAACTTGATTGAGTCTAATAATTCCTCAATTATTAATAAATAATACTGACTGTTTCAGAGAAGTGGAATGTCAAAAGATCACAAATGCATGTCTTTGCTCTTTTGGAAAACACAATCTTAATTTACAAATCCTAACCCGTGGGGTTCTGGGTAAAGTATAATAAAAAAATAATCTCACAGAGAGATAGTTAATAAAGAAAAATAGGAAGGGGGAATAAATGTCTGGTTTATTCTCGTATTCACAAGATGTGTAAAGTAGTCTGAATTAGGGATTGGCATTTGGACCAATGGTTGTTTTTAATTTGCATATAAATGATCTGGAGTTAAAGTTATGTAGTGAAATAGTCATGTTTGCTAATGATACAAGTAGTTCAAATTGATAAATGCAAAAAAGGGCTGGGTGAATTAATTTCAAAATGCTGTTCAATGTAGAACACATAGAGAGAATCTAAACTTTATTTATATATCAACATGATCTTGGCATCAGATAGACAATGAATGAAAAAGTTACGCCAACTGCAGCTGCTGTAAAAAAGGCAAGGTCCATGCAAGGAATTAAGAAGGAAATAGAAACTGCTGATACAATAATGTTCTAGTATACGTACTGGCAGTCCCCGGGTTACAAATGGGACCCATCCCTAAGTTTGTCTTTAAGTTGAATCTGTAGATAAGTTAGAACAAGTACATGTGTAAAGGGTAAATAAGAAAAAAAAAATTGAAAAAAATTTATCTAACTTAAAAGGCTTCTTTGAGCTGGCAGACTGCTGAAGCTACACAATGTTTTCATGAGTGTCACAAAATGTGTGTGTTTGTTACTACAAACCATTGTACTTAACTCAATTTTTTAATATAATAGGCTTTACAGCAATCCGTCCATAACTACAGCAATTGTCCATAACTTAGGCGTTCTTAACTCAGGGTATTGTATTGTTTACCATGCTCAGAGAACTGTAATTACAACTGCACAAGAATATTTTATTGCTGGAAGAGGTACAAAATGAAGGAACACAAATTATTAGCGATCTCACAAGCCTGGATAGAGAACAATAACTGCTATAGCTTCCCAGCAGCCAGTATATGCCGCCTATGATTCATCAGGAGAGCAATTCTCCTATGAAACGAGATTACAGCAATTAGGGCACTTTAACTTGAAACATAATGTAAAGTTAGATATATTTGTAAAATTATGCATGAAAATTTACTGTTTTCT